ATGGATAATTCTGTAATTACACATTGACCTCATGAGGATATTTTTTTTACCAATAGATGAAAAGACAAAAATGGACACTAATAATAACTCTGTCACAAATTATATAGTCAGGACTGTCAAAGGCTGAGCTGAGCAGCTTTGTTAAGTCAAAAGTGACAAAAATAATGAGCGAGCTTTGTTAACTGCAGTTTCTCAAAAGTGACAAAAATAATAAGCAGTCTTACAAATTGACTTAAAACAGCGGTTACTTAAATACACTAAACAACTGATAATTGTCTAAACATGTCTTTTTCTGAGTGACTTTTTCCACATCAAACTATTGGTTACAGACACGAATGGGGTAAAATGAAAAAAAAAAAAAAAACAAGGATTAAAAGTTTTTTATTTGAGTGATCCATAGGGAGCCTGAGATCTGGATTGCACTAAAAACATCAACAGATTTATTTGTTCTTATTATGTTTAACAGCACAGTAGTGAATTTATTTCCTATCATAACAACTTCCTGGTGGCTAATGAATAAAAGATGTGGAATTCTTATTCCCTATAAAACATGGCAACCGCATGGTAGACATTTAATCCACTGCAGGGTCTCACCGGGCTGTAGCAGAGTTTACTGCAGCTCAACTTTAGTAAAGTGCTGGCAGATCAGTGTGTGCAGATTTCTTTTTTACTGTATGCTTGCTCAGCAGACAAGCATACAAATACTCAGCAGTGTGTGCAGGAGAGTAAACATCTCCAAATTCAAGTATCTCCGTGTACCACGGATTAGATCCCACTGAAATTATAATAACATCGAGGCTCTTGAAGGTAATCTGACTCAGTTACATCTGGTCTCACACTATGATGTCAGACTTTTACTGCTGGAAAGAAAAGTCTGAGTCTACAGTGTGGTCAAAACCAAGAGAAATGTCAGACTCCACTGTGAAGCTCCTCAGCCTGAAACACAAGTGGCTTTTGTGTAGAATGGCCTACTTTTAGCTAACTCAAGGCCTTCGACAACTCAATTAATTGTTAGGGTTATTTCTAGGGATGTCCAAAACTAACTTTTTGCCGATATCCGATATTCCGATATCAACTGATACCAATACAAGCAGCCGTTCGGGTTAGAGGCGGAGGACACATTCATTCATTGTGTGCAGCAGGTGCTGCGTCACAATGACAATACACAATGATAATATTACATAATTAGGGTAATTTCATCCGATAATATGTCTGATAATATCAGCCAACCGATATTATCGGACATCCCTAGTTAGGTCATAAATAGACAAATGGACTGACAAATAAGTTGTGTTAAAACAAGACTACGTGCAGTTCTAAAACGTTTTACTAATGTAAAATAAATATTTAAAAAACTACTTTGCGACACCTTTTAGTAACAGACCAGAAGTCCCTGTCCAGGAGGCTTTAAAAGATGCTTCCAAATGCTGAGTTCACACAAATTCTCATATTTATTTCCATATTCAGTTCCAGCAGAAACTGCTGATTATACACTCCTGCAGCAGCCAGACAGCCTTATGAAGGACCTCCTATTATATGAACGAGCGCGGCAAAAGAAAACTTGAGTTCCAACGGAAACACTAACTATAATAGGATGTGAATGACAGAACAGACTTTCATGATTATTAGGAGGAGGCAACGCTTTACAGGTGTAGAAACATTTGTGTAGCTAGAGCCGTGCAGTGGGACAATTCCTCCACTGGGCCTCAGAGACCTGAAACAGGTTTGTGTTTACTCGAGTGAATCCATTTGTGTGGAATTGCAAAACAGAGCAGATGCTGGAAAAACCAGTGTACTCAATATTACTGACATAACCTGTTATCTGTCGAGTCATCTGAGTCTGTGTAACCTGTGGAAATATTTAAAAAGAAAAATAATACTAATAATGTGAATAAACAATGACACACTGAGTCTGTGTAACCTGTGGAAATATTGACACACAATGACACAGAAGAACTGTGTTTTAGTCAGGTCGCTGACAGCTGCTAACGTCAGGTCTTTTGTCCACAGCAGTTACCAAGTTTTTTGTAAGGGTCTAAAAACACAGTTTAAATATATAAACCTTTAAAAAATAGCCATTTGTCAGAGCATTAATGCTAACGTACGTATAGATGTGTGTATGTGTGTGTGTACCTGCTTGAGGACAGGGTGCAGTCGATGGCGGGTCGTTTGGTCTTGGGAATGGAGTAAAGTGGGTAACGGTCTCCGTGGCGAATCATCACGTGAACAGCGAGCAGTTTGTAGTCGGCAGGACTGTGACCTGGAAAACGACACGTCATAAGGGTTAGAGGTCAGAGATCATGGGGTACATTACCGTCTGGTGGATTTGAAATTTATTTTATATTTATACGTGTGCTGTAAATTTGAATGTCTCCCGCTGTGACAGTGCTCTTCCTAATTTGCTTTTAATTCTCACGACCAATAATGCTGTAGAACTGTAAGGAAGTGATTCAATAACTCCAGACGTTTTGGTCTTAATTTAGCCGTGTTTGTGTCTCCGTGCAGGTCTCACCCTCCCAGGCTTGTTCCGTGTGGTTGGGAGTGTTGCAATAGCCATACGCCTCCAACACAGGGTTGGTTTCCTGGACGTGCACCACTGGGAACACTCTTTTTCTGCTCTTCCCCAGAGCCACACCGACGCCTCCATCTACGGCCTGGAAAGGTCTCTGCTCCACTATTGGAGTGGTGGGAATTAGGTTCACTGTAGAAAGAAAATGAGAGAAATTATTCATTGCAAATTAGGGTGTCAAAGCGACATACTGAATTAGACAGATGAATTTTAATATTTAACTCTTTATATAGGATCTAACATACCTTAATTAGCATGTGGGTTATTTGCCAGTTAAATGTTATTAAAAATGGCTATAATTGGGTTTATTTGATTTTGACCAATATCGAATCTACACCAATCCTGAGTATCAAGTCGAGCCATCCCTTTGCAGGAGCAGCCAAATTTCTAAAGAAGAAAGTGACTTATAGGACAGTATAGTCTGGAAAATTCATGTTGAAATCAACAAATTACACTTATAGGACAGTATAGTCTGGAAAATGCATGTTGAAATCAGTGTTAATTAAGCATGAGTGTACAAATTATCACTAGGAATGAGCTGAAGTCAAAAACTGAAGTGTAAAAAAACAATCTTCTGATCAAAGCACATTTTATTAAAATGGAGAAAATATAATACATATTAAAGTTACATATTACCCTTTAAACCTTGAATTGATCCTGTTCAGTCAGGCACTCTGTCTTACATTAAATTAGTAATTCTCTTCCACTTCTGGTATTACTCATTAATCATTTTCCTGCCCCCAACTGGTTAGGAATTTACAGCAGAGAGGATTGAACGTCTAACTGCAGTCTGTCTTGAATGAATAAAAATCCTTTAGAGAAACCATTTTAAAAAGCCAACAAATGCCCAGGCAGAGACAGGGGGCTTGAATTGAGTCAAAGCAGCCGTAGTTCATCTCCATGTCAACAGCTCTACATCCCTCAAACTCCTCACTGTTGCCAAAGTGTTGCCTGGACACCAATGACCTGTGACCTCAGAGAGAAGTGGTTCAATAAAAGACTGAGGTGTTGTGGGAGCTGGAACAACATATTCATCTCTGAATAAAAACAGTATGCCCATGTATGCCCGTTGGCAAATTGTTTTTCCAAATCCTTTTTCACTAAATCAAACTCACTCCTTCATACACGCTGCTTTTCTCAGATTATGGTCGTCCAACATAACAGTCAGTTAAAGCAGCAGTAAAACATGAAACATAAAGTATTAAAATATTTTTTACTGAACTGTATACTACAAAAATCATTGCTCAGTGTTTGACAGGGCTACTTCAACCGACCAATTTCTCTGTTCCATAATTTAGTGTGAGCAATGTACACATCTGACATTCTGTAAACAGTTAGACACATGGTATCCCTTGTGGTTTTACAGATTTATGCAGTAGCACGGAGTTGCTCCGACAGCCTATGATTAACTAACATCAATGAGAATGTTAGACTCATTTCAAAGCAAAACGGCCACCTAGTTTTAACCAGGCCAAATGAAAAAAAAATTATATTTTTCTAATGTCTGATGTCTTTTTTTTCTTTTTTCTTTTTGTTCTTTGCAACATTTGAGAAGTCACTTCTATGGCTGAGTTTTTATCAAATGCTCCATCAGACTTTTCACTGTAACTATTGGAATATGTCAAAGCTAAAAATAAAAATTAGTTTTAAAAATCAATTCACATTTAAAACATCAGAACAGAAGGCTGGCAATGTCCTACCAAGCACTCATGATCATTTTTCAACAAAAGCAGTCGGATGCTACACTATACAAACACATACCCCACATCTATATTACAGCAGTATTTCTTTAAAAAGTTTACATTCTTTTTACTATATCTGAATTTCACTAAAAACTCACCACTAATCAGGAAGAGCAGAAAGTGTGCGGCCACAGCGGAGACCATCTTGACGATGGCTTGGTAGCCTGAGGTCTAGCCACGCTCACAGTGGAGCTTATTCATCACCACAACCTGTGCCCCCTCTGTGCTGTGTGCCCAACACACACACACACACACACACACGCACGCACACACACACACACACCCCTGCATGAACTAACCAAACTTTGAGCAGCCAACTCAGCCACAGCTCAGTCGGCCAACCACAATGGAGCTTTTGTAAATGGCTGTCCAACATTTCCATACACAGCACACAGAGCAAACTGTAGAGCACGCACACGCACACACACACACACGCTTATAGCACGGCAATTAATACACACAAAGAGAAAAATGTGACAAAAGGAATTCAAATTTTCCATATGAAAAATGTAAATAGTTGTTTAATGTTAGTATTAGTTATGATGACAATAAGGAGGAAGAAAAAGCAGAAGACAAAAATGTAGACGATAAAGAAAACAATTAAATGGAGACAAAAAAGGTAAAAGAATGAAAACAAAAAAGAGGGCTGGAGACAGAACTAAAATACTAAACTAAACTATAAGTAAAACATGAAAAAAATAATAGAAGAGATTTTAAAAAAGGATGGGGTAAGACACAGATGAGAAAAAGAGGTGTGAAATGATATTTATGTTTTACTTGTTGTGAAAAAAATAATAGAAGAGTACAGCTCTTTTTTTTTCTTTAAAAGCTACCTCTGTGGACTCACTAACAGACACACACTCCCACACCACCTGTAAACATGTAAACAAGTACACGGAATTCTACCTGGGTATTTACAGTCTAACTACAGTGAAGCCTAAACCTCGACCTTAGAATTGAACACAAACAACTTCATGTAACCCGTGGCACAGCAGTAACTGGGGACTAAACACAAACTCACATTCAGCAGCTTGGTCTGAAATTATCAAGGTGTGTCTGGTCTCCAATTACTTCACCCGACTTTGAGTGATGTGAAGTGGCACCTTTGTAGTAACCGAGACCAGTGGGAAGTGTGTGTTACAAACACTGTCACTCACTGTGACTGCTGTATAAAATTGAATTTAGGAAATCATTCATTTATCATATCATAATTCACAACAGTAACAAAGAATGGTATGGTATTCACTGGCGTTCTGAGGAATGGAATCAATGTTGGGAAAATCATTTTCTCAGTAACTAGAAGTGAAATTATCGTACATTTACTGACGGATTTATGTTGCACACAAATCATTAAATGAGTATGATAAAAAAAAAGTGACTTCCCTTTTCCATAATGTCTTTCAATCGCTTTGCTCAACTCTCAAGTTCCTCCTCCTCCGCTGATTGACCCTCCTTATACGACTCTCCAACTCATTAAGAATGCACCGTCTGTGGTCACGGTCGTTCTGCTGCAGCTCGTGGACATAGATCTGCTCAGGTTCCTGACATGCTCACTTCATAGCACTCATAAACACACCAATAAAAATTCTGAGATGTCTAACCCAGGGCAATGAAAAATTTTACGACTAATGCTAACATAACCGGCGAAGCGCACCGATGACATCATTACCTGCACACATACACAGACAAGCTGCAGTGAGTATGAAGCAGACCTGGAACTCCCATCATGCCCTGCTTCACCTGCCTGTTTTCTGCAGTGTCAGCAGACCAAAATAGTTTCCTTTCTCTGAGTTCCACTCAAAATGATTCTGACTTCTACAGGACCTCAGAGCTTTGTCACATACTCCGAAGAGAGTCCTCTCCTTGTCAATGAGTACAGGGATCACAGCCACATCCAATTTAATTGGAGGCTGCCTGGAGCCAGACAGAGGCATTTGCTCGGCCGCTTATCATTAACCGTCACTCAGACTCTTGTGCTAATGGTGGACAAACAATAAACACATGGACAGGCTCTCCTCAAAACAGTAGCGGACATGAGGCAGAAAAGCAAGCGGACTGTGGACTTGTGCAGACAACAGGAAATGAGTTGAAAGTGATCATGAGCAGAAAAAGAGGAGCAAAATTTAAAGAACAAGCGGCTTCTCCAGCTTAAAAATCCTTGTCTGAGTAATGAATAAATGATGAGAAGACAGCTTCACCCCAACAAGAGGGATGGTTGAGTAAACAAAAAGAAAAAACATTTATGAAGGTAATTATTCTCTGTGAAAACTGACAAATGTAGTGTGGCAAATGTGCTTCAAACAAAAGTTCACCTGTTTAAGACAGAATACAAAATACTGGAAATGATTTTCCAGTCTAACAACGTGTGTGTAAACGGGCAGTATATCGTTTTTTTTATCCTCTGCAATGACTGCTTTAAACATCTTTTAGTCGTAAATACACAAGTTTAATGTGCAAGTAAAGACAGCATATATCCAGCATTTATTTTATTAATTGAAATGTCAGCTTTGGATTTAAAATTCTACAAAGGAAATGTTTATTTACACGTCTTTATTGTGTGGAAAATTCCCACTCTAGTGGAACCTCGGGCACCCTTACACTACTACAGCAACTGATCTCACAGGTTTAATTAAGATAATAGTAAAAATAAATGAAGTGTAACATTTTTATGTAAAGGGATTTTGTGAAATTGTTCACAGAATGAAGATTCATTTCCCAAAAGGTACTTCTGTCTTCCTCTTCTACTTTGAAGTGCACTAACTAATAAATTACATGAACAGTAATGAGGTCTGTCTCCTTTAACTGTAGGTTCCTTGCAATGATTGTACTGTAGGTGAAAGGTGAATGCTGTCCAGAAACCCCCTACAGGAGGTGGGGAACAATGAACCCACAGTGAAAAAAAAACAAAACAATGATGTGATGTTCATCTCAACAAATGACTGATGTGAGAGAACAGCCAGTGTGTCTATAAGATCCACTTCTGATGCTGGATATTTATAGTAAACCCGCGAGTGGGTGTCTGATGCTGGATATTTATAGTAAACCCACAGGGGGGTCTTCTTTCTTCTGGGATGAATAGAAACAAAACAATAACAGGGAATGGATAAATAAATATGTAAACATACATCCATATGTCCCTGACTTACACAGTACTGTTTCCACCACTAAAAATGGAGCAGGACAGCAGAGACCAAGCAAAAATAGTCTAAAAGGGCAAACTTACAGAACTGAAGGCTGAGACTGATGATGGCAAGCACTGCTCCGCCCACTACAACCAGAAGGAGGAAGCGGTTGCGAGCCAGCATCTTGTCACGTGATTGGTCCTCGTCCCCCTCCGTCAGCCATTCAGACCACAGCCCATATGAACTGGAAACAGTGAAGAAATTGAGGTGACATTAACAAAAAGGATTTCACAACCCAGGGTTTCTAAACACACTAGATTTACTGAGCAATCTTGACTTGAACAATGTTGAAAAGTAAAACGGTTATTAATGCATGTTTGTTAGAGATGATTTGACTGCATTCATTAGTAGTTTAAGTTTAGACAACTTCCTACGACTCGTGGCTTTGACTGATCAATTTGTTTGGGCCAGATTTGAAGCTCCTTCCCAAAATATTTCACCCGCAGACGTAGGTCACCTCACCTCCTTCCCCTCATCCCTGTTCATCTATTTCTGTCAACTATCACAGTAGGAATATAGCGGCTCCACAGAGGAAACCACACTAGGGTATTTTTATACTCATGGATTGTGAAATAGGATAATTATCTCACAACAAATGCATGAACAACAAGTCAAACATAAAGTGAGTCGTTCACCTGTGAAGGCCTGAGAAAACCTGTGAAGCAGCTTTATTTCACTCCTTCTACCCTGTAAGAAGGACCCTGTTCTACCCTGGAGCTTTTATATATCTGAGTGATGCAGGTTCAGAGTCCATTTGAGAGTCAACAAAGAGCAGTATGACCTACTTCTTCAGTCTCTGTACCAGTACTACTGCTCTGAAATGTTTCCATCATGTTTCCTATATTGCAGTGGTTGCACATTCCAACAGCATCCCTTCTTTAAGTTTTTGTCTCATGACTTAGTTGAATGTAGGATTGAGAACAATGTAAAGATTATTTAGATTAAATGTCACTGCCCAAAATGTAATCCATACAGAGATGATGGCTCAGTAGTTTTTTTTGTGTGTGTGTGTTGTGGTCATATTGCTGATCCACAATCATTTTAGAATATAATAAAGAATATAATAAATCTTTCTCTCTCACAAAAGTCTGCGTGGAGTGGAAAAAGCTAAATAACAGTCATCTGCAAAACATTTGATTATTGTTCTGCTTGGACCAGTTTCAAATCTCACACTACTAACAAAAGAATGTTTAAGTGGTAAATAAAAGTATGAATAAGGTTCAGTCGACACTAGCTGGACGACTTGAAACAGCTGCTTACCACAGCTTTCTCTCACCCTCTGTTCAGTTTCATCACAGCAGCCACATCAATATTTGCCAGTGGTTTAGTTTCTCCCAGCATTGCTCTATGAATGCATTAAGCAGAACAGTAAACAGTTTGTAGATTTATGAATGATCATCCATCAAAATCAACTAGATCGCTGCAGTGCTTCACTCACTGCTTCATTTCAGCAGAATAACGAGTCTCCATAGTTACGTGTATCAAAGCCAGTCATTGATTTTGTTCTCAATAGTCTCCAAAAATCTGTTATTCTTTATGACAAAGTCTGCATTTAGTCTCAGTTTGTATATATGAAAAACAAATAAATAATAATGGCGAGAAAATAGGAAAAAATATATAGTAACCAACAGAAACTGTCCACAGTCTGGAACCAAGTTCCAAAAGAGGCACCTATTAAACTGCAACAGAATACATTATTTAGTCCATGTGCTGTTTTTTTTTTTTTAATCATTTCAATCACAATCAATCCGACTGGATGTTAGTAGCCGTGAAACACTTGTTTCCACTATTGGATGTACAGGGCTTAGCTATGATCAGGCAATGATGTGTCAACTTGGTAAAACTGTTCATAACCGTATTCTCACCAGATCAAAAAACAATACAATAAATTACAAAACAATAAATGAAAGTGTAGTTTTTCTGACAGATAAGTCAACTCTTCAATACAATAAATTACAAAACAATAAATAAAAGTGTATTTTTTCTGAGGCTTTGACAGCCAAGTCAACTCTCCTGTCAAAGAAAGGACAGAGTTCTTAGTAATTTAGTATTGAATGTATGACCTTTCATAGTCAATTGCCCCTTTGATACAAGGACTGCTGTGATGTTAAAGGTCAGAGCAAAGGAAGTCAAACCAAGTCTCACACACGTTCAGCACCATGACGCTCTCTGCCATTTCCCATAATTAACATGTCAGTCACAGCAGTCGGCTCCATAAATTGCACTAACTTGGCCAGGGGCTTAGAAACTAGGCAGAAACCTGAGGAGGCACAAACCAAACCTGAGGTAACTGTAGCCCTGCACAAGACAGCCCATTATTAAATATTCTCTCCCAGTACACTCCTACCCTAGTCTATGTTTATCGAAGGTACAATTACACAGTACTATAGGCAGAAAAACAAACTTGACTTGCTGTTTAAACTTGATGCGTGCGTATTTTTCCTCCAGATGTTGCAGTGTGTATAATTAAAGAAACAAGGGTGATATTACATTACATGTTATTTTGTACAATTCTTTAAAAAGCTTCAAATGAATAACTCTTCTCATGGAACACACAATATACTTGCATACTTTGCAGTTATCTTGCATACGTTATGTCTCGTACCTTTTACTATTCCAGAATTTTTATTTATATGAAACTGTATTATGTTGACTGTTGTCTGTAATGTTTTAACTGTTTCTCAGTGTAGACCTTTCTATCTCTCCCCGGTTCTTTCATTTTCTCGGGACTCTCCTCTCAGATTACAATGTCGTCCGCCAACATTGTAGTTCACCGAACTTTGATTTGATCTCATTTGACTGACAAACCCACACCACTACAAAGGATAAAGAGCTCGAAATCGATTCACAGAGGCAATGTGAAACGCGGTTTCGTTCATTGAAAAAAGCAAGCATCGAGTAATCGTGAAATATCGAAGAATGCAACAGATTAAGTTATAACACAGAAAAGAGCGACAGTTGGACCGGAAATGCACTCAAAGAACTCCAGAGAAAACTCTTTCAATGTCTTGGAGAGACTTTCTTCTTTCCACAGTGTTTCAGTTAACAGAAATTATGGGGTATTTAAAACTGTGGCTATACAGCTGAACAGTCTCTTGATAGTTAAGGTAGCTAACGAGTTAGCTTAGCGATTTAAACCCATTAGTCTGGTGTACCGGCTGGAAAACCCAGTAACAGACGACAAAGCCATGCACACATCTACACGATTCGGTGTTCGGTGCTTTTCTCTAAACGTGTGTGGACAACATGTGCTGTTCAAGTTAATGTTTTGAGGAGAGAAATTTGGGAAAAAAATGTTGAGAAAGAAGAAAATGTAAATGCCACACTAACAACGGCGCTTCAACCACACAAAGCCATTGAATAATCAAGGTGCATAAATGGTGACAACGTACAAAATTGCGTTCGGTAAAAGAAATGTATTGCAGAAATGTTCCTACCTGCAGGAGCGATATGTGTCATGGACTCAGAGACACGGAGAGTCAGAGTTAAACACTTGAATCCACCGCTCCGGTTTCTTCCAGCGCTGTAGACCGAGACGAGGAGCAGTATGTCAAGCGACACATGACACAAACGCAAACTTCCGGCTGTCAACGGAATAAGTTTTTATGTGACGACTATGCGTTTTGGTTTCAGTGGGCTTTCGTTTAACCAAAAACAAAAAACAATTACAATTGTAAATATGTATGTCGATTGTTTGTGGATTGCTGTGTAGTAGATATCTACCCCTTCAACGTATGATTTGTTCACAATACTTTCAAATAAATGCAATACTTTAAAATAACCTTGTGCCTACACACCTTATAAGATAACATCTTCTTCTTGGTACAATACACTGGAATCATGTAAATGCGTATTTCAAAAATGATCCTGGGAACCACTATCCTTGAGTAGTGGTTCTTAGGAATACTACTGCTTACATTTTTTTTTAATGGCTGTAAATTAAATTTTGGAGAAAGTCTTTTAATTTGAAAGCACGACAAGAAGCGTTCGGTGTATCGTCTGTTCTACATCGTCCTCTTTTGCTTAACAGTTGTTAAAAGACCCATTCTGGCAAAAAGCTCAGCGAATAGTCACCGCTGTCCATTTCCCAACATCATACCCCATCTAGTGGACAATAGGCAGCAACGCATATATTGCGTTTACGGTCAAATTATTGTTTGAATTTGTTTCGGTGCATTTATGTGTTGGGTGCAGTGTTAGCCAGTATTTTTAATTGAAAAGGTTAAAAAAAGGAAAATCCACGGTATTTTTCATAGATACATAATAATTACTCAAATTCAATTTCCATTTTCATGATGTAATTCATAAAATAAATAAAAATAAATAATGCGATTGATTTAATGTATTTATATTGGAAATTGTTGCTGTCCCTGTTTAAAATGACCATATGCGGACAGAATAGTCAGAGTGGTATTTTTTAGATGCAAAATGCTAAAGTGCATATATTTACTATTAACTAACATGAATTAATTAGCTGAAAATATTGCTTTAATCTATGGGCATCAGTAGAGGTAAATCAGTGGTTAGAAACTTCAGTTTCCAATAAGAAAATGCTGCCAGTTAAGTATTCACTGCAACATCAGGGGCTGAATAACATATGATCAACAGAAATGTACTACTGAATGCCCAGTTAAGTATTCACTGCAACATCAGGGGCTGAATAACATATGACCAACAGAAATGTACTACTGAATGCAGTGAGTAAGTAACAGATGCATGGTAAACATTTTCACTCGTTGCGGTTTGGCTAGTTATGTGAGACGGTACGGTTCTTAATGTGGATTCCTTAAATGCCTGTTTTAATCAGATTTTCTTGGCGAGGTATTTAGGCAACCAGTGAATGGATTGTTGTTTGTATCTGTGTCAGTTCTCATTGCACTGCTATGTGAAGGTCATGTGCAGCCACTTAAATTCACTTATTGTGTTTTAACAATGGTCATAAGACGGAGATGACAGGGAGGATATGGGTTACTCAGAATGAAGTTTGTGTGTAGTTTATGTATCTGTACTAAATGTTCAGCCTCCCAGTCCATCCTTAGGGCAGTATTTCCCTTCAACACAATTTAACCATAAAAACCAATGCCCTCATGATTGTGAGTTGATCACTGGAACACTGTGATGTACAATTATCCCCAAGGGGACACAGCTTACTAGCTCTTATAAACTGAAATAAGCTCAAAACCACACTTCGGAGGACTCACTGACAACTATTTCCCTTCAACACAATTTAACCATAGAAACCAATGCACCCCTGCCATTGGAAACACAGGGCTCTGAACCTGCTGAAGACTGATTAATGGACACTGCCAAACCTGTGTCTAGTGCTATGAAGATGCATTTCTCCCTAAGAACTGTAAGAGCCCTATATTATTAGTTTTACCTCTCAATTACTTTACCGGAAAGTCTCTACAGGAACAACAAAGTGACACACACCTACACTACGTCATAAACTGTATTCTATTTTACTAAACCATCACTGCAGGCTTTTGAGCTGTAATAAAAAGCTACTTCTGTTGATCCATGGACTTGAACAGTGGAAAAGTTGATAATGCTGTTGCCTTACTGCCTATGGGTGTTTCAGGTTCATAGAAACACCCATGACTCACCCAGAACACAAATGTAACATTAGTAAGATTTCAGTAGATTTACATCTCTACATATGTGGCCCTGGCAAAATGACATCTGCTACTACAGTAGCTCTAGTTTCCTGTGTGAGCCTATACTGGACCACACTTTCAGTTTGTAACAACTAACATTCTAGTTGTTATACTCAATTTTTCGTTACGATAAAAACTTGCAGTTTATTTGACACCAGGAAGCATTCATCATTTTCAAAGTGTCTAAAATTAGAGTGGAACTAGGATTTATAACTTACTTTAAATTAGCATCAACTCTCATTTAATGTGCGAACTAGGATTTATAACTTACTTTAAATTAGCATCAACTCTCATTTCATTTATTTACAATAACCATTCCCTCTTCATTCGGTTTCAAATGACAATGACCCCATGGTAAGGTGCTCTTCGAAAATATAGGTTGGTAACAGGAGTGACTGATAAGTTATCCTACTATAGTTGTTGCTGATGTTGATATCAGAGTGCACGTGAGGGGAGCATGGGTGATAAACATGGTATGGCCCCGACAGTAGTTAAAGATTAACCACTATTTTAAATATGTATTTTCATTGGGGTGCACAGCACAAGAGCTCTGTGTGGCCTTGAATCAATGACCTGCATTTTTAGATCATCAATAAATGTACTTTTAAAAAAAAGGAAAAATGAAAAAGATTTAAAAGTTCAGTTGAAAAATATAGTCAACCTATAGTCAACTTTTTTACAGATTGCCACAGATGAAATCTGTGGCAACTAAGTGTGCCATGTACACATACAGTATGTACACCTGACACACATGACATATAGTATATGTATATGACTCTGATGAGTCACAATACGTTTTGTCAGTCAGCAGTAAAAAAGTATAAACGTGATATTCAGGGGCCAGTGGCTCACAAACACGTCATCTGTCAGATAGAGATGAAATACTGTATGTAAAGTGACACACATACTGTACAGTGCCGAGTATACATGTATACTGTGAGTGGAAAAAGCTACCAGTACAGATGAGCTGAATACCAAAATTACTGTATTTTAAAACTATGCTGGTAAATTCTTTTTTTTTTCTCTAAAATAGTCCACAGAGAGAGTAGACTGTAGTTGATATTAACACACTGCTGCTTCTGTTAGTAGCAAAATGTGATTGCAATGTGATGAGGGTTTGAAATCCCCAAAAGCAAAACCAGCAGTAAAAGTGTTTTTCCCACAGAATGAAAATAAATCTCTATAAACAGTATCAAAATGCATTTGTTGCTAACAACTATGTTTGAGTGTAGCGAGATGTGCACCAGTAACTGGGCGTAACTGAGTGTAACAATCTGGCTTTTCTTTCACACACATGAGAATTCCTTCCAAATGAAATTATTTAAAGTAATGTGATTCCATGTGAGAGGTGATGGCTATTAGCCCCACCAGGCTAATGGGAAAAAAAATCTGCAAACTAAATAAAATACATTTATGTTCCCCAAAAGCAGAACTCCACCCCTTCCCAGAAAATGTTTCCTGATTTGTTTTTATTCACACCCGCACATTTATAAAAGCAGCCACATTTGCATAGAGAATAATAAAGATTAAAAACATGTAAATTTCATCAGGTTCCCTGTCAGCAGTGTCAGCAGTTCTTCAACTATTACATTTTTAAGGTAAGATAGTTTTGGGGTTTTTTTTACATTCCTTAACCATTGTGTTGATCGAGGAATGTGCTATGAAGCACATTTCCGTTTGTGCATGACATACACTGAAGGCTGCATATTTTCAGAAATTGTTGTTCATTGTGTGTAAAAAAGTTTTGCAGAAGACATATCCTACACCTTTACACCATGAGAGTGCAAATCAGGATCAATTATACATCTATAAATTATTTTTTATTTAAAAAGCAATTACTTCAACAAATGTCTGCTCATTTACATAAATTAAAACGTAATAAACAAGGAAACAAACAGTATCAAATATGGAGGGTTGGATCAAAGGTAAATTAAATATTTCTATGTAGAGATTATAAAATCTAAATATGGCCTTCATGACGACGTGTAAGACTCTATTATTAATATTTTTCGTTTTTCTGAAGATTTCTTCGTTAACTTATAACAACAAACCGATTCCCTATTTTGGTGGACGAACAAGTCTTTCAAAATAATAGCACTATCACGTGAATGAATAGTGATGGGCGGAGTCGCGAGGCATCTCGGCCAATCAGCGCCTATGTTTGGCCTTCTACTATTCGACGAACAATAGCGGCGCTGCAGTAACAGCAAGTAGTACTTAGGTCTCCTCTGAGTGACGTGAGCTACGTCAACGTTACCGAGGCCGAGGCATGTCCTCCGAGTAGAACCGTGAATATAACTCAGCACCCACATTGTGGTGAAGGGTCACTCTGCTTAAAAAGGAGGAGATGTTAAAGAACCGTCGCTGCAGCACCGTCCTGCATCGTTTCCAAACCTGTTAGCCTTGGCAGCTAACGAACGCTAAACAAGTCAGCCATCACTGACCTCCACTACACTGCATGAGGAATATTGGCTGCTGGTCGAACGTTTTGGACGTTTGCATCCCGCGTTCATCTTCTTCACCGTCTAGTGTTTTTCCTGGGTGGCGTGTCCTGTGGACGGTCCACGAATATGATCCACAATGAGTCAAAGAGACACTTTAGTTCATCTGTTTGCTGGAGGGTAAGTGCATGTCCCCATGTGCTTACAGGAGCAGTTAGCGCACTACTAGTTAGCGCAGAGCTAACCGTCGTTGCTGCCCCCTGTAGCTGGTTACAGTTCAATATATGCATAGTTCACGGCTGGGTTAGTTGGTTGTGTTTAAGATGAATAATGTGTAAACATGAGAATGAGTATTGACACGAGTGGCTCTGCTGTCAGCTGAGCTGCTGTTTTGCGTGTGCACACGGTTGAGCTCAATGTCAAGCAACGCAATGACACGCTGATGAAGTGTCATTGTAGCGCCGTCAACAGACTGTATGTATAAATATATGTATTACAAAAAATCGCTGTTTGCAAGACATTGAATCCTGCAACTATGGCTTGAGTGATGTCAAAATCAAGAACTACGTTCATGCTTTAACCTAGTGATCATCAACTGTGAATGAGAAATAGAACTCTGGACAGAGGAGGAATCTGTACCAACTGTTATTTACTCACAGCTGACCTTAGTGTGGGTATGGTTAAGAAGAGCGAAGAGCTCCTAAGATGTACATCTCAACAACACTGCTCTTGAACCCCGTAGCCACTTTATAATGATAATAAAACGCTGTGTTGTATTGGACAAAAAAAGGTTAGAATTTCACTTTAACCACAAGGACGATTTTATTTTGAGAAGTATTATAAAGAACAGCCAGTCTTTTCCAGGCAGATCTGTTCTTACCATCCTCTCATCTTTCTGCTTGTTCTTGAAGATTTTTTAATCAACAGCTCAGCATTTAATAGCTAATAGTTTCACGGGAGGATGTACCACAGATTGGCAACAAAACATTGTTAAAAAAAAAACATGAAAAATGTAGAGGCTGCAGTTTGACTGATGCAACAACCAGACTGCGTGAACACAGAGAAAGCAGTCTTGTCTGCTCGGCTGGTTGGCCAAAAGTGATTCTATACAGAGTTAGTACTTCTGTACTGTGTATTACTTGTTCATGGTTTATTGTTGGCAGAGATTTAGAAAGAAACTGGTTTAATTATAATTATTATATTATGTTAACAAAGTAAATAACAGTAACAAAGTTAATGCTAAAACCGTGCAGTCCTCTTTCAGTTTGTGTGTAATAGAGCTGGGGGATGTCTCAATATTTGATATGGAGAGATTCTCTGCATGAAGTTTGTAACTCTGTGTGTTTTAGCCAGTAAAAAGTTTTTGCAGCTAGTCTCAATGGAGCACAACACATTCCATCCTGACCATCTCTCCCGCTTCCCACGCATTGTTATTTCTAGTCCACATGCCAGAGGGCTTAAGATGTCCATAATCTAAAACCACTTGCTAATTTATCTGTGTATTTTAAAGAACAATGCAGCACTTGGGTTGTTCAAAGGACATTTCTTATCAGTCTGTCTGCTGAGACTCTGTGTTGTTTCTTCCCCTGTCTCCGTCTCAGATGTGGGGGCACAGTTGGAGCCATATTGACCTGTCCACTAGAGGTGGTGAAGACCAGACTGCAGTCATCCTCCATCACCCTCTATGTGTCTGAGGTTCAGCTCAGTGCTGTCAACGGAGCCAGTGTGGCCCGCGTGACACCTCCAGGTCCTCTGCACTGTCTGAAGTGAGTAGTCAGCACACAAGAACTGTCACATCCGTGTCATTTTGATGTACACTGTTGTGCAAACATTTTATTCAGCGATTTGCAGAAATTCTGTTTTTAGCCTAGTGCCTGGAATGACACTTCTCGTGGCCAGTAAATAAGCCCTCCTCCCCTCCTCAGCCTGAACAGGACCAGCAGCCTGGTTATACCAGTGGCCTTTGTGGGGGCCGCACCGCAACTTGGATGATTTCTTACAAACATTTTTTCTAAAGTCACTCTGAAACAAAACCTTCCAAATTATTAAACTTGCTAAACTGAAAACAAAGACTATATAAAATGTAATGGTTAGTAGTCATGACTTTGCAAGATTGACGAACAGGAAAAGCCTGCTGCAAAATTCCTTCATCAAATGTGTATAAGAAAATTACCTGCCAGTCTGCCAAGTCTTTTCCTGTACCTGATGATAACTCTTGACGCCAGAGAACTTTATAGTTTAGCTCGAATAAGAAAGTTAGCATTAAATAGTTTTTATACTCTCATTGGAGTATGTTTTTTAATGTCTGAATGTTAAACTTTTCTCACAGTGTGTTCATACGTCCGCAGTGTCGACGCATAAGAGTACAGTTTATAAATGCACAAAAGATTAACGCTATTTAGGGCCCAACCCTTGACATGTGCATTTTGTTGTTGATGATAAGCAATGATAAAATATATATCTATATATATTTTTATAAAGTGAATAAATTGTTGTTAATGTTCTAGGCAGCCCAGTAAGCCAGCGTACATGATAAAATAAATCTATTAAATGTTTCTGTTGCTGTTTGACATTGTGTTTGTCTTCTTTTTTCTCATTTAAGATTGATATTGCGTAAAGAAGGATATCGCTCACTCTTCAGGGGCTTGGGTCCAAACATAGTGGGCGTGGCACCTTCCAGGTAAGCTGACTTCTATCGACTTAACTTTACACTCACTTCTGTCTATGACCTTAAATAATGTTGTCGCAATACTTTGCTATATCAGAAAAAAATGTTTAGTAGTAGTATAAGGAAGGAGGGAAAAAGACACTGTGTGTCACACGCCTTGATTACTCAGCTGACTGTTAAAGCCCTTGAGGTTATGGATGTTTTATGTGTTTATGTCAGGCCACGTTGAGATAACCACTCTAGTGTATCATAACATCTGAGACGTCAGGTCATCAGGTTCATCCAGAGGACTGTAACAGACACAGTCTAACACAGACTTATGTGTACAGGTCCTTAGTTTACTCTTAGTACTGTCAAATGGACTAATCAATCATATAAAACAAGTTCTAAAAGTTAAATATTCATTCATCATTTTTTAATGTCTTCCATATATATTTCCTTTATGTTGTTAAAGGTACTTACTGGAGTCTCACAGGTTACACTGTGGTCATGGTTCCAGTCTTTTACAGAATCACATGTGCAAAAAATAAATAACCATTAACACTAACATTCACATATGGTCAATTTAGAGGGTCTTTTTACATAATAGTCCCTCTACTGTACCCTGACACTGGGGGAAAGTCGAGTACCCAGACACAATCTTCACACACATTACCACAATGTGCACACTGACGGGAATTCCCAGATCATTAAGGTCCATACTTCTTCTGGAAGGTGATGGGTTTTTTTTGGTAAACATGGCAACGGCAGCAGCAGCTGAAGGAGGTTTTGTTTGTGTCCTGTGCTAATGGAGGTGCTAAATAGTTGACCAGCGGCAGAGGACAAGTGTCGCCACTAAGCATTTGTCAAGTGTTTGGTTGGTGGTTGCTCATTTTGTGTCACCCCAGTGGAAGAGCTACATTTAATGATGTCATCACAGCGGTTTATCATAGTAGGAGAGTTACTGTAGTGCAGTACTGTAGAGAGCTACAGCATTTTGTCTGCTATAAGAAAGAATGTCGGAAAATGACTGTTCCTACTGTTAGTGCACCCTATAAGGCTCCTTGTTGTTTTAGTGAAAACTCTTGTCAGTCCTACCAGACTGGTTTGATGATCATTGTAATTTAACTCAACCCAACAGGGCCCAGTTAAGTGGAAAGGAATGTATTTGCTATTTTTGACTTAAGCTCAAACATCATCGAACTTCCAAGACAAGGAGAACCTACTTTACAAACTGTTTAGTCTGTGTAGATACAAACACGCTAACCCCTTTTCTTCCATTTCTTTCCAACAGAGCGATCTACTTTGCTGCTTACTCTGCGGCCAAAGAGAACCTGAATGGTGTATTGGAACCTGACTCCACACAGGTACACATGGTGTCGGCTGGAACAGCAGGTAACTTGATACTTGAAGCTGCCAGTTAACATTTACCTCCGTGTAGGATTTTTTTCTAATTATTGGTAAAATGGATTATATTTGGAGGTTGTTAAATTTCTGCGTAACTGAACCTGAACCTCTGCTTTAGTGATGACTTTCTGTGTAAAAAGGTCATTCAGATTACGCAAAATAATTTGTCTTTTGAGCAAATATCTAAGGCTACCTTCGGACTACAGGTGTTGTTGCTCAATTTGCGTTGCGTTTTTAGTTTTAATGTCCTCACCATCCTCCTGTGTGAACGGTCTACGGACCATGCACAAAAGATGTGACGTTACATGCCGTGTTTACACAACTAAACATGGACGCTACACACATTTTGCAAACAATGTCGGTTTTATCGCTGTGCAGTCAATCAGAGAGCCTGCGCCCTCACCGTGACTGAGGCTGTTGCACACCCCTCTCCAGCTTTCGTCCCCCTAAGTGCAGACCTCTGGGTGTGGAAACCTGACAATACCAGCCTCACAGACTGAGAGCGAAACTATGACAAACATCTCCTCCTTCAGCTGTGTAAAGTGATAAAAAGAGTTACAATATGTCAAATGTAGTGTAAGTGTAACAGTTCTAGCTGTAACATGTCCCCTGAGTTAGTGACACTGTCAAAGCCCAGAGGATGTCAGCTTAGAAGGCAGCCTCTAATGCAGGGCTCACCAACCTTTTTTGAAACTGAGAGCTACTTCAAAGGTACTAATTAATACAAAGAGCTACTTGTTTGATACAAACTTTCCGAACAAAGTAAGAATAATGAGAAAGAAAACGAATGCTGCGTCATTGCAAGTGTAACTGATTCAGAAAGAACAGTAACAGTACAGTTTTAGAGCCTGTTGTTGACTAGTTTTATTTTTTTAGAACATCTCCCAGGTGAACTTTAGGTAGGCCATGGGGGCTACCACGTTGGTGACTCCTGTTCTAACGCATCTCGATGATAAACTGCACATTAAGAAGAAAATGACTGCACGTACACCTGAGGTTAAAACTAGAAGGTCTGACTGTTTCTACCTAACAACAGGTTTGAACGGTCATCACTCAGTGAAAGGTTAATGTCTCTACAGTAGTGTCTCTCTGTTCCAGTTGGGAATGTTAAAGCTTCGGAATGTCTTGTCAGAATGACAGCTGCCTTTATTGTGTGTGTGAGTGTGATGTCATGCAAGCTGGTAGAGGGTGACTCCCTGAGCATTTTGAAACACTTCCATCGCACAGTGCAGGTCAGCATGTGTCATCCCTCTCTGTTCAGGGGCTTTGTGTCTGCTATGGAGGCGATTTGTGGACTTATTGTGCAGTGAAACATGATACTGAGACTAGAACTGACCTTTGTCAAAGACAACAAACGCTACTTAGTAAGAAGATGACGAGTAAAGTCGGGCAATAATTGCTAATATATATATATATAGTAGTGAATATGATCACACTGGCCTTCAATTGAATGCTGACCTTTCATGGTTGTGCTCACAGACAGACTTCATCTTCCTGCACTGCCCTTGAGAGCAGTAGAGGATTTGAAAGAGAAGATATCATTAGAGTAAAAGTATCAAAAGTTCTTCACTGCCTCCAGACGGATATTTGCTTTTGTGACAACCTTTTCCATCCAGAGGTTTTGTTAACTGCTCAGTCTCTTCCACAAGAGTTCATAGAGGAAAATCACCGTTTGTGTTGTCGAGTCACAATCATAACACCCGGTCATATCAAACCACTTGTTTCTATACTTGCACCGCAAATGTGAAAGTTAAACATTCAAATTATTTCTGAATAAAACATCTGATCCTTTTGAAGATCTTTACATTCAAATGGATTTCATTCAATGTCACAATATTTCAATGGTCAAAAGAAGTGTGAAGTGTAAATCTGTAGGTCAGTTCAGAAAAATACCATGTGACATTTAGGTCAATAGGGGTCAAAGAAAGCATTTAACACTAAATTGTAAAGTAGGATTATTGTTGTGTGCTTCTGTTAATTATTTTCAATAATCACAAAACCAGGTGTCATATATGTCATATATATAAACTGTTTTCCAGTCAACCTATCATTTTTGTGCTCCAAGTGTCAGGGCATTCTATCGGATCACATAGTAAATACTGTACAAGGGGTCATGATGTCATAGGCCATGTTGACTACACTGTGATTTTACCAATTGTATTTGCAGCTGTATACTGGAAGCATATCCTTTCTGCTCTTTTGAATGCGGGACGCTGATTTTCCATTGGTATGTTCGGTGAAATCCTGGGGGAGTTGGGTTGAAGTTGAGTGGTTGCATGCTGGTTATTCTCGCTACACACAAGCCTGTGTCTGTTTTAGGCTTTGCTCTACTATAGCACTCCTCTAACAAGGGCAGGAGACCCCCCACACCACCAGGGGTCTCTAGCTTCATCTTTGAGGAGTTACTTGGGTCAGTGTGAGTACTCACCTCAGATCTGTGCTTTTCTTTTCTACAGTGTACATTATCTCCCTCTTCTCATCTCTTCTCTCCACTGTTGCCCCTCTAATCTAGGTCATTTGATTAGCAACTTTTTTTTTTTTTACGTCTGTGCATGTTACATACAGTATTTTATGACATTCACGTGTTTGCCTCCCCCTTCTTTCTAAGTTGCCCCTGAGACTTAATATCTTATCTTAAGGAGTTTGAGTTCATTCAGAACACTTCACAATACCTTGACCTACATGGTAAAACCAGTATCTATAGGTAGACTTGTTGTAGTATAAGTCACGTGTATAGAAGTCTGACACATTTGTAGATTTTAAACAAACTATAATTATGTTGGTAATTTTCATCCACAGGTTTTACGGCCATCACTGCAACTAATCCTATATGGCTCATAAAGACTCGACTGCAGCTGGATGCAAGGTAACGATGGAACGGTGCCCAACAAATTTGATTTGACTTTTTTCCCTTGTTTTTTGAAGTAAATTATGTTTAAGTGTACAACATAGTCTCTGCTATCATCAAACAAAAACGTTACATAAAATATGTAATGGAATATAATGATCTTGTAGTTTCAATGTACTTTGAATGCACTATGTACCATTTTATTTCGTTTTGAATCTCTTTTTGTGGTTTTTAATGTCCATCTGCTGCCACCTAGTGGACAAATATTTAACTGTTCTGCTGTTCACTATCACTATGGGCTACAGCTTCATCTACCAGTGGAGAAATAGAACAGTTGAAGTAGCACAATATCAAAGGACATCTCAAAACATATTGCAGTTGATAAACATGTACTTTTCATATACTTGCTTGAGTTGGAAATAATTTGGAAGCACAGCAGATGTTGCCATTGATCATATAATGTTAGACAAACTCCATAAATGTTTTCTTGCACCTTTCTTGCCGCTGCTCAGGAACCGTGGCGAGCGCCGGATGAATGCATTTGAGTGCATGCGGCGGGTTTATCAGACGGACGGCCTGAGAGGCTTCTACAGAGGGATGTCCGCTTCATATGCCGGCATCTCAGAGACTGTGATCCATTTTGTGATCTATGAACACATTAAAAGGCGTATTTTGGAGGCCAGAGCTCCGCAGAACGTGGAGGAGGATGAGGCGGCGTCCAGAGATCCCCTGGACTTTATTGGGATGATGATGGCTGCCGCCACCTCCAAATCCTGTGCCACCACCATCGCTTATCCTCATGGTGAGAGCAAAAGGCAGAAAAAGAACCTTAGTTTTGCTGCCTTGGCATCTTTCAGTAGAACTGTGTCAACGTTTGAATCTAGGTTAGGCATGTCACCTGCAAGGCTGCTGTGTGCTAACAAATAGCAAATATTTTAGTTAAATAATTTAAAAGAGCTGAACATATGGGAAAAGGATAACCTTTTAACCTTTCCTATCTTCCATTTTCCTCTCATTTTGCTCTACAGAAGTCATTCGTACCAGGCTACGTGAAGAAGGCACCAAGTATCGTTCATTCTTTCAGACTCTAATGATGGTGCCCAAAGAGGAGGGCTACCGTGCCCTGTACCGCGGGCTCACCACCCACCTAGTACGACAGATCCCTAACACCGCCATCACGATGTGCACCTATGAATTTGTGGTCTACTTTCTCAACGGTTAAGGCCCGCTCTGCCTTCAGACAGTTTGTGTACCCCAGCCCCTGCTTGAAGGAGGAGGAAAAGCAACTGCTCAACCAGCTCGTCCCGACAGCCAGGTCAGGCGAGGTCCTGGCAGCATCATCACCACCACCATTGTCATTGCTGAAACAATGGCAGTTTAAAGAAAGATAAGCAGTTTGTGTTGAGGGCAAAGCTCTGGCAACAGAAGGATTCATGAGGTTCCTGCAGCTGTGTGGGAATCTGGGTTTCTGTCCAAGTGGGTTTTCATTCTGTTCCTTTTGACTTTTGGTCCAAGCTGAGGCTCTGACCTAAAGAAAGAGTCCCAGCATATTCCACCTGCAGTAAGAAATAAAAACATGCAGTCCTATCTCCCAAATGCAAGAAGAAGAAGAATCCAGAATTTATTGACATGCTGTTGATCATGGTTATTTTTAACAGTATTCTGTTTTGTTTTTTTTCATCAAAATCGGTACGTCGGCTTGTTGAGACGAAAGGGTAGCAGAGAAGAGAAAGTAAATGAAAAGCTGTTGGTAGTGTCTCAAAAGAAGGGGCGGAGCTCTGGTTCTCGAATCACTTCATCATATTTACTGATGAAATGCTACCAGCCTGGGTTTTTGATTCATCTCTTTCTGGGGTCTGGTGAGTACTGCAGCACTGACGACCGACGCTGTCTGCTCTCAGAGTCCCCTGGTCAAAGTCTCACCATCGTGGTGTCAGACAGATCACACTAATTCACTGGTACTGTTCTGCCAACTTTGGCATAATTTGACAACATGCTTGGCGTCGAGCGTAACTGCACCACACACAGTGAGTAGACACACATGAAGTGTCTGGGTTTGACCCAATAGTTTGAGATGAGAAGCTCGAGCTGATGTTGAAATATAAATTAAAAGAGAAAAAAAATCCTACACTAATCTAAAAACTTAAAGTACCACAGCAATGCTTCCCTGCCATACAGGCCGTAAGGGGATCGAACCTATAACACGTCTGCAACACAGTATGATCATTTGTTAACTGGAGTTAAAAACAATGTATTTATGTTATGGACAAATTTATTTGATGTGTATTAGGCAGAAACAGTGGACACTGAGTTGAAAGATTTTTTTTTTTACTATTGGTGTTGACCTCAGGCTGCAGTAAATGCTCTGTGTCAATGAGTGAAATAAGTTGACCATTAAAAACTCCCCATGTCTGTATGTGTGACGCGGTTGTGCGGAGAGCCGCCATTGACAAAGTAAACACAACAACTGACCTGACATCAGTCGGTAACTGAGTCTTTGTTTCTCTAATGCTGTCAACAGTCATGGAAGAACTTCTATATAAACAAATCCCTTACAATAGTATTCTGCCATTTCCGGTACTACGTTATACACGTGTGCCCCCTGCTGGTTTGAATTAAAACAGGATTTGTCCTTCAGAGAGAGAGAAATGCATTTTAACCTGCTACATTTCTAAGGCAATTAAAAAAATTGTTAATAAATAGTAACAGCAGATCTAACTACAACTTCAGTGTAAATAAATAAAGTAGTGTAAAAATAACAACATTTTATTTGAATCTGAATAACAAATCAAACTTTTTTCCCTAAAAGTAGTTTAATTTTTTTTAATCTAATTTCATGATTTTGATACAAGTTGTAGGACGGTGAATCATAATTTCTCAGATATATCTCAGTTGAGGTGCAGGTGAATAGACTGCAGATGCAAGAAAGTATTCCTGATTCACAAGGTAATGTGTGTTGTTTTGTTTGTTTGTTTTTGTTTTAGAAAAAAGTGCTTGTTTAAATATTTCTGATCTCACATGTACATTAACACAGATCCAAATAATCAGCATTTATTTAAAAAAGACCAAATAAAGTTATGTTTTCCTACACCCTTAATATACACATCAAAGTGTGTTCCAAAAAAATCAACCTGAGTCAAAGTGTTTAACCAATGTGAAGTAGCCTTAGTAGCTTCACCCTTTCGCGTTACAGCACTATACAGCTTCATGTAAAAGGATGTTGATATTTATCTTGAGCTCCCCCGCCCCTCACCCCCTGTCATTGGCTTCTCCCTTCTTTGTTGGTTTAAAGTTGTTGTGGGTAGGGTGCTGTATTCCCAGTTGTTCTGAAATGAGTGCAACTTGCAGCATGCTTCCTTGCCAGGGCTTTAAATGTGATGTCATGTAATGTAGTAACTGAAGAACTTTACTGATCACATGACCACGAGAAGATTACAGCTGACAGAGTAACTCCGCTCTTCTGCCCCTCCATTCATATCAAGGAACTGTGGAAACAACGGAGCTTTTTTTTCCTTTCTTGGAATTTTACACTTTTCATAAACGTAGCGAAATGCTGCACCTCTTAAGTTTCTGGCGCCACGTACAGTGTATATACAAAAACAGCTGCTTCAGTTAGTGGGCCTCTTCCTCGTCATGCAACCAGTTCACTGTGTATTGTCTTCCAGACGCTTTTCTACTGCTACTGGTTTGTTTTACATGCAGTGAGATGTACTAGAGTTACCTTGTTGCCCAAATCTTTCCAAGAAAGATCTTAAAGCATTGTTCGTTTTTGGTTTAGTCAAGACTCGATAAGGTACTTGCACACACTGCACTTTGTGCTACAGCAGAGAATCAGGTCTTGTCTGCTAAACAAAACGCTTAAATTAAGGCTGAGGAATATGAAAAATATTCAAGAACTATTTTTGCAATTTTTTTTTTTTTTTTGCTCAGCTGAGGAAAATAATAAGAATAAAGAGATAAAAGGAAAAAAAATGCACCATTCACACAGTTGTACATAGTTTCAGCTCATGCAATTGGGGGTTTTGCATTTCCTTTCATATTAGAGTTAAGGCAATAACAGATGTGTCAGGGTTGTTGAGTGAATGTTCACAAGTTTATTTCTAGATAATATAATTAAAGTATTTACTAAGGATATCACAAACTTAAACCGGTGGTAGATGTTTGTTTTTTGTTTTTTTGTTTGTTTGTTTTTTTGTCCCTGTTGACAGCCAGTGTTTTGAGGGAGTGTGGTCTAGTTACCTCATTGAGTCTTACATTTATAACCAACTAACACTGGCAGAAAATACACATTTGTATGTCCTGGCCCCTTTTGTGCTATTAAACTGGACTGATGTTGTGTATATTTTGTTCTCTACTGTTATAAAAGTCTCAGTTCAACTAAACAGCTATCAGTATCAGTGTCTTTCAGCCTTAAGACAATTTTACATTAACATTTTGATCTACTACACCTTTTCAGACCAAGTAAAGTGTTTTGTTTTTATTTAATAGATGCACAAACCAAAGTAGTCAAAACTCTGATTTCTTTGTTGGTATTTATTTATTCTCTCTTTTGGGAGCACTAACCCTCCTTCTATCCATGATGTGTGACTGTGTCTGTGTGTTGGAAGACAATAAAAAGAAAAAACTTGTAAGATGAAGACAAACACTCCAAACTAGACTTTTTGTCAATAAAGAGACAAATATGTGTGTGCCTGAGTCTCTGCATTCTCACACTAGGTTTTGTAAAATAAATAAATGGAAATGGAAGTGCAAGTTCATTTCAGTTGTCCAGTAATGTTATTTTCTCAGGTCCATGTGATGTGAATTCATAAGAATTGTTTTAAGATGTGATAAAATGGTTTATGGTCAGCCTCCTAACATGTATACTTATTTTGAAAAATATATAAAATGTATGTTTTATATTTTATTGTATATAATATACATATATAATTTATGTATTATATGATATGAACATTTGATAATTTACAAACATTAAACAAAAATATAGAATTGTTATAGTTACTGATATATCCTGCATTCTTTGCTCCAACATAATTTGTAACCATAACAAACTGGTAGTAAATTGGCCTCTAGGGGGCAACCGATATATAAATATGGTAGTAAATTGGCCTCTAGGGGGCAACAGATATATATATAAATACATACACAGCTTCTTTAGAATTTAGAAAATATAAAAAATGAATGAATGATTGCATCAGAGATGCAATTTAGAAAATATAAAAAATGAATGAAGTATGTTCTTCATACTGACAGACATTTAACGTGTGTTCTATGAAATCTATCAGCAGTGGTTCTGTGACTCCTCTGGGAACTGATTTGAGGCCAGCTGCTCTGGGAGACAATGCTCTGATCTAGTTTTTGAGTTCTTTCATTTACTTTTCTTTTAACACCAAGGCTGTAAGATCACATTTCAACCTGCTCTTTCAGCAACAGGAATAGGAAGACAAAGACTTAACGTCACACAATTTTTGGTCAGCAAATAAACAGGAAGTAATTTACCTTGATATATAGACAGGCGTGTAGTGTAGGGACAGATAGAAAGCTTGTCGTGTGGACATGTACATACATGTTATTCCGAACAAAGTCCGAATTATGTAAGTGCAACCAATTAATGCAATTTAGTGTTTTTAGTCTCGCACAACTCTTCTTAGGTTTCTAACAGGCATTTATTTCCTCACGTGTATGTTTAAAATGATAATTAGGCAGAGCTGCCTCCTAAAACAAATGTTCATTGTGTATTTAACAGTTCGTTTAGTATAGAAAGTATAGAAAAATGTAAATATATGAAAAGTTCATAAGGAATAATAAAAATAGAGCACAATGTGTATGTTTTGTGTTACAATGTGTGCCAATTAGGAGTTTAAATGTACTTAAATGACTAATAAATAACCAAAAATAAAATTAAAAACAAACTATTAGTAGTTATTTTGCTACGGACTAAAGTATGTAAGCCACGATGTTGTTTCCACCCTGCGGTAAGTGTCCGGAAAACACATCAAACAAACAGGAAGTGATAATGTTTAAAAAATAAAAGCACAACCTAGGAAATTTGGTTTTAAAACGGCTATTCCTCTAAGAAATTGTTAAGTGGATGTCGTGACCGGAAGTTTGGTTGAGGTATTAGTTCGTTTGACGAAAGTCACCTTTCCTTGATCCCGGTGCTGCAGCCAATCAGCGCTTGTCAGCGATACACAAACGGTGATCATTTCTACAAAACAGGCTGAGGCTAGAAGGAACAAAGAAAACCCATCGCTGCTTCTCCTTTTCCAGGCATCCACACACTTGGTACAGTACTCCTTTAACAGTTAGTTTCAGGAAATGTTAACACCAGAGTCTTACTGTTCATGACAGTCTTGTTTATATATTTGCCGAAGAAAGGAAACTTAACGCCCTGGTTGCGTGTATGTGTGTGGGAGAAAGCACGATTTCCCCGAGGTCGCCTCTCCCCAAATTGTGGATACCTATGCGGAGGTTTACGCACGGTAAGTTGGTTTTAGTTTATCGAAAAACTGACTGTTACATTGGACAATGTTGTGTCGTGACTACGTGAAGAGGAAAACACCGTTCTCAAACTTTTTCCTCTTGCGATATTTTTTTTACCCAGCCTTCCCTGAGAACCGTGGCTCTCGAAACTCCGTTAAACATGTAGTCGATTTATGTATCAGTCCAAGTTTCTATACAAATTTGTGAAAAGAGCTAATATGTAAGAAACTATTCTAATTATTTTTTCTGGTCAGACACATTTTCGTCATCCAGCAATTGTAACTAATTGCACGTTTTGACCTGTTTCAGTCAGGTAAACACGTTCTCCAAAAAGTTGCGCAGTAAATTAAGAGTCACCGATTACGTTAAAACTTCTAAGAGACGATGTAGATGGAGTTATGTGTGCTTTTGCGTACGCGAAAATGCACCGACAATGTTGCAATTTAAAAACAGGTTCGCCGTTCATGGACGGTTTCTTTCCTCGTGAATTGGCTACGGGTGGTTCTAGTCTTTTAAAAGGTGCTTGGTTGACAGGATATGATGTCGTCAGAGCCAAATCAGCTCCGTGTCTGCTGTGTGTAGAGAAGTGGTTTAGAAACTACAGCACCTGATGAAACATGGAAAAATGAAAGCAGCCACAACAGCGCTTCACATTTAGATATCTGGGTCGTGAAAAGCCCCACTGTCAAAGTTCTAAACTGGTTTGTTTTGCGTTCACACAAACAAGACACGCGTCTATTACCTGGAATAATAGACGCGTGTGTCTTATATTCGGTGGCTACGTGCCGACAGTTGGCGCATAAGTTCCTCTTAATTTTATACAAACGGTTCCAACGCTGTTCGTTTGTTGTGTGGTCATAAAATGGATAGCCAAAATCGTTGCCCTGTTATTGAGCGCGTGGTTGATGGTTCGTGCCTTACAGCAGGAAGATTCCTGGTTCGATCCCTGATAGTAATTGAAGATGTGAATTATGTTGATTGAACATAATTATTGATCAAATGTAGAAAAGGTAGACTTGATTGGTTGTTTGTTTCTTTATGTGATCACCTTGCACAATGACTGTGGCCTTACCAGGTTTGTGACCCTGGAAAGCATTAAGAGGTAGAATATGAATAATTGAACATGTTTCTGCAGATTATAAGACAATGTCATCAGAGACATGAGGCTTTCCTGAAAGCTGTTGTTTACATCTCATTTGAGATTGAAATAAGTATCAACAGTGACACAAATAAAAACAAATTTCAGACATTATTAGAAAATGTAAGCCTTGTTGAGGTTTGTATAAACTTCTTGAACACCCTAAGCCTTGTTGAGGTTTGTTTAAACTTCTTGAACACCTGTGCTAAAGTCCAGAGAGAAGAATTAAGAGTTTACATCATAACAGATTTTTTTATCCAATATTTTTTCTGCAAGTCAGTTTAAATGTTCATTTTGTGAGTTAAATGTTTGTACCTTTGTAGCACAAACTTATCGAATGAGACAGCAGTCGGACAGACATTCCCATGTCCCACAAAAACATTCAATCAGTTATTTGAAAAAAAAAAAAACTCGGACTGGTGCGGTGCTATTGCTTTGCTGTAGGTCCCAGGTTCCTGTAGACTACTGCTATGACGACTCCTCATGGAGGAACCAGCTGCAAGCGTTCGGACTGTTCGCACACTCATGGACTTAGTTACAGAAGAGATACAGATGATTTTTGCCCAATTGCGTTGTTCTCAAAATATCGAAATAAAAGACAAATGAATTTAATAATAAAAATGACTTTGTGTTGAAAAGTCAGCTTTTAGTGAGCATTTAACAATTTTCCCTGTTTCCAGGGAGAACAAATTGCTGTATCTCCAGTCATGGTCAGCTTTGTCTTTGTCCAAGAAATTGATTTGTTAAATGTTTTTATGTCTCTTTTTTTTTTCTTCTTGGGGCATTGATAATGTGATTGATTACCCTCCTTTCAGATGTTTATCAAAGAGCTCACCTTGTCTGTCAGCCTGGCACTGTGGCTGGTATTTGAAGTGCAACACTTGATAGAACCAGACTGTCTTGTTTCTTTTTTTACACAGCCTTGCTGTGACTAAGCAATAGTTGAGGATATTCCAGGTGAGCAAATAAGCAGCCAACTGCTCCAAGTGCTCCGTTTGACTTCATTCACTACCCATTGGATTTCTAACTGGTCTGCTGTTGAAAGGCTAAATGTTTTGCCTGTAACCACGCCATCTGCTTTGTCCTCCGGGGCTTTGGCCGAGAGGCTACTGTCCATATCAAGTGTTAATAGAGAACCGTGTGGGTGGACCACAGCAGATGGTGTGATGGCGAGCATGACTGACCCATCACTGTTGTAAACAAGCTGACTGTTCTGATGGCTGCTTTTCTTTTCTTTTGTATTTATTACACAGTCTGGTCTGTTAAATGTGATCAGGTCTCTGTTATAGAAAACCTAATTCTGTCTGATACCATTCAGAGCCAGTTCAAAGGCCCGTGTCATTAATGAACAATTGACCCCTCCTCTCACATTTCCTTCCATCTGGGGTTTGACCCCGTGGACCACTGTGACATCTGTTGACCTCTCTGCTACTAGTGTTTCGGTCAGGACAGGGCAAGATCCTGGCCAGTGCTGTCTGTATGTTAGGGTTGCAAGACAAAACATTTATAAAGTCACTCTCAAGTTTATGCATCAAGCATTTAAAACCCCAAAACATTCAACCGTCCTGCCATTTTCACCTTAAACAAAAACAGGCGTCATCAAAAAGGTCAGTTAAATTGCTAAAATAAATGACACAAGATGCTGACACTGTGTGGTTCGGTGTCAATTACGTTCAGAACTGAAATCAATCCAAGGTGTTGAAGGCTTGTTCTTCTTGACGTGTTTCCTATACTCAATCTGTATACCGTGAAGGCTTGTTCTTCTTGACGTGTTTCTTATACTCAATCTGTGTACATTGTGGTTTTTAGCTGAAAAAAGCTGCAGCCACTCTTTTGCAAATTAAAAAAAAAGAGCAATTAAAAAAGCCACTGCCAAGCATTCAAGGTTTTCCTATAAAAAAATAAAAAAAATCTTCAGCTGCATTGCATCTGTCTTAAAAGATTATGAATAGATGCTGATAATCAATATTTGTAAATCACTTGAATTATCTGTCACTTAAAAAAGTTCCTAGCGACTGCCTATCTAATCTTATGCCTTTAAATATTAATCTCACCATGCAGTACCTGGGAAATTCCCATCCCTCTAATCTTCTAACTTGCCCACCCTTAGTCCAGCCTCTTACACACATGCCTGACACAGAAAAATGTAAGGCACATGATCAGAGCTGAGGCTGTTTCAGCACAGGAGAGCTGATGCTGACTCAGTAGAATGTTAATGTTGTGAAAACCCATTAAAAGCAATCTGCCGCTGAGCAGGTCTGAGCAGGGGTTTTACAGGACAGCAGGTCTTTTCAGGAGGCCAAAAAGTGCCCGATGGTTTAAGTCGAATCACCTCAGTGATTAAGTAAGCCCTTAAAAAGAGTTCTGAGTCAACATTGAAATGATTTAGGGTCGTGCGTTGGTGGTGGAGTTGATGTTTTGGAGCGTGTGGAGATGACTTACTGCAGCTAGGATAACTCTAGATGACGCCTAATGTTTAATCAACCTGGCTGTAATGTATACATGTATATCGAAATAATAGTTGAATCTGAAAAATCCTATCATTTGGGGTGTCTATTAAGCTCCATTTATGCTCTCTTTGTGTATGTGAATGGGTTGGCAGGGTTATTGAGCACTTGAGACAGTGATGAGTCACAGTCAATTTCCAGTCTGTCAGTTTCTCGGACATGGAGGCGGAGAAGATTGTGATGATGTTTTTGCTTGAACAGAGATCCATAGAAGAAAGCAACCTGTGTGTGCAGTACTGTGCAACACTGCCCCCACAATTTTCAATGGTACAGCTATGTTTCATGCATTGAGGTTCTGCAAGCTTACATGATCTCACATAAAGAATGCAGAGGACAGACGAGACTTGGTGTAATCTGTGATGTTTTCCATGACAAGATTTTACACCTTCATATATGTATATATGTGTGTAGCTACTCCAGAAGTGATAGCCTGCCTACGTTATTGTGTTCCCTGTTTCTGGTGGATCAGTAATCAGTGCTGAAAACTGGATTTTCACCCCACTCCTCGGGCAGATGATGGATGTTTCTTGCTGTGCAAAGGGATAGGAAAGCACAGAGTGACGTCACTGATACCCAGAGATACAAGACTTGGAAGATGCTCATAATGCTCTGCTGTTGAAGTACTTTAAGTAGTTCATAATAAAACACATTAAAAGTGTTCATAGAGTAATGAATTAGTTAATTAGTCTGCTCTTTCTGCTTTAGCATATTTTGCTAATTTCGCCACTCAGGTGACACTTACGCAGCTGACATATCTATATTGAGCTCTATTTAAAACACACACTTGTTGGTGTACTTGCGGAGTATGTCAAGTCATTGTTCGGCACATTCAGTTAAAACTGAAGAGTCTGCTGCTAATTGGCTGATTTATTGGAGTAGATGTGCCAGTGACTTGTCATATCTGTCCTTTCTCACCTGAGATGACAAACTTAGCCGTTCAGGTTGTACAAATACAATGTGCTAATATTTATTGGAAAAATTTCTTTAAGTGTGCTATTGTATTTTGTGTTTATCTGTTCTTAGACGGATGTACTGACCAACCAACGAACAAACAAAACAAGTTTGACTCATTTCTCACAGCAGCCTTGTTTATTTTGAGTCATTTGTACAAACAAATGACTTTTCTACGGTTGTTTTTCTGCCAGCGCCTGCACACATTTGAGCCTAACAGCAGAAGCTGTTGGATGTTTGAGTCTGTGCTAAGACTGATGCACAGTTGGAAGAAGGGAAGGTAGATGATGCAGAAATGATTGAGTGCTTCGCTCTCCTACTCGACTCCCACTAGCAAATTGTTTCACCCACTCTTCTGTTTAAAACCTCATTAAAATGTCAAACCATTAAAAGCTGCAATTCATGACTCCCCGTCCTTCCCTCATCCAAGAGGGAATTATGTTATTCCTTTGCTTCGTTGAGCTTGTTGAACAGCATTTTAAATTGTTGACATGTTCAGTTTTGCACAGGATTTTAGCAGCACTGATCCTGTCTCTGTGGTATCGGTGGGGAATTAAATGTCAAGGACAGAGTTGTTGTTTCCAACATTTATCAGACTAATAAAAATAAGTTAATAATTCACATGACTGGACAGGTGGTTAATGGGGTCAAGTTAAATAAATGGCCTTAGATGTGGGCAGTGTGAACCTAAAAAAAAGAGCAGAAAAGAACACTTAACCAATCCTTAAAGTTTGGTATCAAACCTTGACTGTTGACTGAACTAGCTGCTGAGAACTCTTCTCCCAGGTTCGGCCATTTCACTTGTTGTTCTATTGTTATCGTCTCTGTGTTCTTCCTCTTATGGAACACCACCCTCATAATTTCCAATGTTACTCCTCTGTTTGATGTGTAAGAGAACGCATCTGCAGGCTCCCTGAAAACATGCACATAATGAATGCAGAGGATGGGCAGTTGACCCCTTTAACATACTGTTAAATGGTCTCAGTAAATGTATGCCATTTTTAATTTGGGTATCTGTCATTTAAAACATCATAAAAAAAGTCATGTTATAGTCTTATAATTGTGAAACAATGGGTTAAAACAAAATGGATCGGGGTAACAGTTAGTACAAGACGCAGCACTCAACTCTGTGATCTAAACACTTTTCAGGGTCTCGGAGAACAAACAGCAGAGAGAGCACAGAGGGACCTTTATGCCCCATCTGTCATGCGGCTCTCTGGGCTTAATTATACTGGAGTAATTGATTAACTGCCTTGGTTTTCGCTTATGACCAATTTGAAAGTACAAATGTGTGATGTGTGTTGATGCAAGTAAGACTTGCTTCATTTATGGACCCAGAAGACCACCCACTACAATTTGCAACAGCAAACAGGGGACCCAAAGAGAGTTTGAAAAGGAGACTTCTAAAAGTTTAATGACCATTTATATTACGTATACTCATTAATATTGAAAAGATTAGATATGTCCTAATAACCTTCCATGTTTTTGTGTTCCTACTATATCTTTGTGTGTTGCCTTCCTCTTGTGGCCCATTGTTTTATTTAAGCCCCAATTGGGACTTGGCAGACAAACAGAGATTTTCTTTTTATTTAAGCCCCAATTGGGACTTGGCTAACAGAGATTTTCTGGAGAACTCATCCACTGATGTTGCGTTTGATATATATAATACAAAGCGTTATGTCAAAATATTACATCTAATTATGGCACTGAGTTTTTAGTGTGAGAGCTTAGTAGGTTTCCCTGGCAACTATCTATGAGAACAATTATTCCCAGAGCTTGGGACAGGTTTTTCTTTTTTTTTTAAGTCAGAAGACTGGGTTTCGGATTCAAACTGAATGGCAAGAAATCTTTGCACCAAAACCTTGTTTCAGCTCACCATAAACCTGACCGTTGTTGGTCAACACTGCAGATCCAGTGAACCTATACTCCATAACGGCGTTTCACCACAACTAGCTGTTTTTTAGTTTGTTGTGTTATTGGCCTATTTTGTGGTTTATGCAAGTAGTTGAACAATGTTGGCAGCTTGGATGTATATTAACATCAGGGACTTGAAGAAAATTGTCCAGCTCTTGACGGGGAGTATAGTTCTCTTGGACAGTGTAAACAGAGCTATTCATAGTGACCTACACAGCAAACGTGTATGTCAACTGTTTAATAATAAAGCACTCCTTCTCATGTGTCTCGAAGTCGCCCTGATCAAACCACTGCTGCTTGTCTTTACAGAATGCCCAGAGCCATGCTATGACCTGTGACCTCACAGAGATGCAGTTTCCTGACAACACCTTTGCTCAGATGGATTAAAAGGTTTGTTTGTCATTTACATACTTTAGCAGCAATATTTGTTTCACATTCAAAGCTGGTCCAAACCCAGCAGTGTTCTAAAGGATGTCTAGATATTTGTGTTCACTCTGCTGAGACCAAACGCAGTGACCTCGGCAAAAACAAACGGCACCTGAGGGTTTCATGAGTGATGGGGCGTAACTAGTGGTTTATGTGTGGACAGATTTAACTGATTTCAATTATATGTGGCACTTTGTGAACCCTGCTATAGAAATGTGATCAAATAGGTATTGGTTTACCTTTAGATGCAGAGAAGATGATCCAAGGTCATTGCTGAATATTTCATCAAAGAGCAGCTGATATGCATAGCAGGCTTTGAGGTTGGGGTTAGGTTTCAACCAGGTGAAACCTACATTACCCTTCTGTGCTACCTTTTACCATTATAATAAAGGTGCAGACTGATGGCTGTCTCAGTGATTGGGTTAGAGTACAGACACTGTCTGCAGACAAAGTTTTAAATTTTAGCTGGAACAGAAAGAAAAGAGATCTGACGGTCAGGTGCTCCCTTAATTAAGAAATAAGTAATAATGATTCAAAACTATGATAAATATATCTGCAGGCGTTTAGAAAATGGTATCTGGACAGGCTTGGTTTGTACTTGTAAGACTTTGCCAAGAGCCTTCCTCAACTTCTTCAGTTCTAGTGTTGAACCTTGAAGAAGCCTTTTGTAGAAATCACTTCATAAGCTGACCAGGTCGGAGTTCACAATAAATTGATTTGTTCACAGAAATTCTGTTGTGAACACAACTGATTTTTATTCTTTTACGTCCTCATCACTGTTGTGAATCTGTTGAAAAATTCCTCACAGCCAGTTCTGTTCCGCTTCAGGTAGCTAAAGGCCTGCTTTCGCATGTTTGTCGTGAGCAAACATTAACATGTGTATTTGCTAAACGTGAGGGTTTGCACGATCGCACTCCAACATTGCTCAGTACTCAGTAGCCGGCTACCAACTGGGAAACTGGACTGGATTTTAAACCTTTATAGTTTTACTATATTTCACCTCTGTGAACATGAAATAAACACATTGAAAAAATGCTAAAGTGTAAAACCATGAACACAGGGGATTATTACTTGTACAGCCTTAGTTTTATAGGTGAACAGAAGCTGTTGGTGGATATGTTTTCAGAGCAGAAGATTTAATGTGTTTATATGTCTTTCCTTTGTGTTTATATATCTTTCCATTCTGTAAAGGACACACCTCAAAGGAGACCATAGACTTTGTTCACGTGTCACTAGATTTGCAGGCATTTTACTCTGCACATAGTACCAGTAATTTTACAAACAATCTAATGCACTACGTTTTAGTGCATACTTCAGGCTCTGCAGGATAAAAAAAATTTGTCTTGACCTTTGTTTTGCCTACAGTTGCTATTTTCTTCTGTCTTAAATAATTACCCAAATCATATTCTTTCTCATAATTAGTGGTGTTTAAATAGCAGTTGTTGTACTGCTCAGAGTGGTGTTTGTTTTGTATAATTGTCTTGCACTTTTTTTTTTTTTTAATTCCCACTTGAAATCAATGAGCTCCTTATTAAGCTTCCTTATGGTCAAGGTCAATGAAAACAAAGGTAGTGCTAACAAAAATAGCAGAAGCCTTCAGCACTGATGGTCTCTGTTGGAGTGGAGGAGGAATGTGATGAGTGTGCAATTTCTCTACTGTTGAGGCTCCAATGTGTTTCTTTCCTGCTTAATTTAATTTGAGAAAAATCTTGTTGAGGCAACGTGTGTGGAATCCAGGCTACAACACGTCCAAGGCAGAGGACTGAAAGCACTCACAGAGGAATCCCGTCACGTTAGCTTTAGAGGAGCCATATCAAGATGAAGGCTGCGATGTCTCTGAGAAAAATGTCAAAGCAGAGGATGGTTGATGAGACCTTCAGAAAAGGTTAACTCCTTTAACCGATTCATTGAGTGGGCAGCATTAGTCATCCAGTATGTCTATATGCACAAGTGAACGATTTGATAAAACTAACATTTAGGGTTGTTGTGGTAACTTCCACTGTGGTAGGAGTGAGGACATCCCAGGGGTGGTGGGCTACCTCACTGCATATGTCATTGGCTCCACTGGAGACTGAAAAAACAAAGACGTCCAGTTAAGGGTGATGTGTTGTGTTGCTTTTAGGGAAAAGCTGTTTTGGTAACATGGAGTGGTTGTGAGTTGTATCACTTCCTCTGTTACTGCCTTGGAATAATGGCAGACCCATAGTACTAGTCTCATAACATCAGCAGTGTAGCAGAACTCTCCATGTTGTCCACCATCAGTATTTGTCACGCTGTAGTACAATAGCTCATACTGCTATTAAAGAAACAGTATCCTTAAAAGATTTGTGTCGCACGCAATAGAACTACCGGTTGTGATTTGTTGTGTTCATTAGACACACCCTCTGCAGTGTAGTGCAGGGAATACAGTTAATTTCCACAAAGGGGAAATTAGGAAGATTTTATGGAACAGTAAACTGACTGCGACTGCAGCTCAGAACTGATATTTTCATCTTAGACTCTTGTCTTCCATGACTGCTGCTGTTTTGAACACAGAGAAAAGTGGACTTTAGAGTTTTGCGTCAGTTTGTGTGTCTGTGTGAGTGTGTGTGTGTATCAACGTTTCTGTCCACCTTTTTTCAGGCAGAAAACAGTCAGTGTGTCTGTGAGAGTGGTGTTCACTGCTTGGGAAAGACTGTGAGTGAGATCAACAGCAAAGCCCTCCCTTTCTTCACTCCTCCCTTCTCTCTCCCACTCCTCCCAGCAGCTGTTTTCCAGTCTTGGCTGAGAAATGGAGCCAGACTGTTTCTTTTTTCCCCCCCGTTTTTCCCCATCTTCACGTCACAAGCAGGAACTTACCAACGTACAACAAACAAAGAGTACACTTTTTTTTTCTCACTTTTGCGCTGTCTCTTTGCTGGCCCACACTCATCTGGTTGTTGACTGTACTAACCTCATCCTGGAGGACAGACTAAAGAGCAAGTATTTTCGCTCCTCCACTTGGCAGCTGCCGCTGTGTACTCTCGATATCGTGTGAAAACTGCCTTAGCGTTGGGGAAATACTTTCATGGTAAGATGTCTCTTCTCACCAACCACGTCTGATTCTTGACCTCTTCTGTCGTCCTCCAGTCTGTGATATTTTCTCTGTTTTGTTTTTTTCCATCTCTCCTCCTCTCTCTCTTTTTCCCTCGCTCACACTTTCTCTTTCTTTCTCCTCCTATGGCAACACTGTTAGTACTTTAACTCTGCATTAGTCTCTAATGCAGCACTGTTGTTTTGTTTGCATGGCTTTAAAAATTAAAACGATTTAAGAAATGTAAAAACTTGAATACCTCACATTTGTAAAACAGTTGTTGTAATTGTTAATTGTTTAATTGTTAAACATGAAGCAAACAGTTTAATTGCTTGGTGTTAGTAGACCAGACAGTCGGTCAAATAAATGGAACAAATGAATGAAACTAGTGCTACATTTTAAAGTCATGCAAACAGTCAGAAGCTACTCGTCTTCATTCCATATTGTGGGTCTTTTTTGCTAATGTGAAACTTCAATGATTTTAAACGATGACCAACAACTTTCATATTTCCATGTAGTTATGAGAAAGACTCTCAAAAAATCCAGAATTCAGTTGTTTTCATAGTAAATGTTGACTTAAGAGGAAGTTTCAGTTTAACATACAAAAACATATTTTAAACGCCTAACAAAAGAGGATTAAGTAACACAGTCAGTATTTGTACTGTAACCTTCAACAGCTTTTAGTAATTAGAAAATTTAATGTTCATGAAAATGTATATTTATTAAAAAGCTTCGACATCCCTGACATGTGTTTTGGTCAAATGCTGCACTGTGACCTGTCTCTTTTACTCAGTGACCAGGACAAAGTTAGTTGGTTAAACTCAATGTTATTAGAAATGTCTGCTCGTGAAATAGTCTCAAACATGGAATGTTGCAGACTTGACAGGGTGTAAATTTTAAATGGTGAGTTTGAGTTCAGTTTCTGAACTCTGTTTGCCGTGTCTCCCTGTTTTCAGTCTTGTTTAATTAAGAACAAATGTCAGTTTCTCAGGAGCTGCTTTAAGCACCAGAGGCTGAATGCTAGTCATTACAACAACTGTCTGCACGCATGTTTTGGCAGTATTCCTGCAGGACTTTCTGCAGCAGTGGAATATTGATATATTTATGAACTTAATATTAATGTATTAACTAAAAACAAACAAATTAAAAGCATTTAAACATCACATAAATTTGCTCACAAATAGTTATCTGTAGTCCGGGCGATGAGCTGTTTTATGAAGTGATAACCAGTCTTTGCAAAGTGTATATATTCAACCCAAGTCTCCATTGCCCCCAGCAGATTTTAAGTATTAGATATGATGTGCATGTTGGAGCTGTACTTCAAAGTCAGTGTTTCTTTTTTTCTTTTTCTTTTTAAAGAAAACCCTTGAGCCATAAGTGTCATCTGTGTGTATTTAACTGAAGTTAAAACTTCAAGTGTTTGATATTCCAACTGTAGTTGTCACGCTCCCAGAAGTCCTCTTTGTGCCCGTCCTGCACAGATTACAGGTTTTTGCTAGGGAGCCTGGTGAGCACTCTGCTTTAGCTCTGGATCCAGAGCTGTAATTTTTTTAGTAGGGCAGTAAAATTAAGTAATGTAAATTAAATCTTTTAAATTAAATTTGGAAATTGAAAAATCTCTCACCAAAATTTTATTTTTGATATTTGTTGTAATTATGTTTATTATAATTATTATTTATTTAGTTTTCAATTCCTCAGGGAGAGCATATATTGTTAGTCTTTTGATATTTGTTGTAATTATGTTTATAATTATTATTTATCTAGTTTCCGATTCCTCAGAGAGAGCATATATTGTTAGTATTGTGTAATACCGATAATATCTCTAAGATCTTGGCAGTAATTTGGTGTTGACATGAGGATTTAATGCTTGGGCCTAATGTTACGAACGCATGCATTAAAACTGGTATCTGTGTTTCTGCTTCTCTCTGCTGTGATTGAATTTGACTTTGAATGCCTCCTCAACACTCACCTGAAGAGACCATGTACTTCACAACTCACACTGGCTAGGATTCAGACAAAAGCACTGAGCTAAATGGAGCAAAGACAGGGGTGAAGCTAACGTTTCAGTGTTTCGCCTGGACTAGTTGAATAATCAAAAACCAGTGATTACCATTACACAGAGGGTGAAAATAAACATCCCAAAGCCCCTTCTGACCAAGTATGACGTTCCGTACAAAAGAAATAAATAGATTTAACATTGAACATATAAATAAATCATTTAAAAATAGCCAGATTTAACATTGAACATATAAATAAATTAAATCATTTAAAAATAGCTCCCTGCTTAAAAATCTTCATATTTATATTAAACCCACGGTTCAGTGTGTTAGAAAAGTTTTTTGTTTTTTTTTTAAATTTATTTATTATTTAAACAGTGATACAAAATGCCTTAGTACTTCACCAGGTCATCAAGTGTTTTGTGTGAACTAAACCAGTCTTGCAAGTCGGTTGCGAGTTTGAAAATATAAAGTGTAACAGCGGAGCAATTATAGCTGACTGAGGTGCTGTTAGCAGGTCAGGTGCATTCAAATTTTGCAACGTAAAGTATCGCAGGTATTATATTTTTTGTATCTGTAGAAATATACCTTCACTAATCTCACATTTGTTTTACACAGCACTCCAAATTCATGTTTAAGTTATACTCTGAATGTTTCATGTAAACTTTAAAATACCTTCAAATGCTACATGGTTCTGTTTTTACAGATTTATGTTCTTTTAATTCTTTTGGTGCACTGATTCAATTATATTCAGATTTTTTGTTTTTCTTTTAAACTGTTAATTGATCCTTGACATACTTGGGTATATTGAATGCATGAGAAATTGCTGTCATATTCTGTTTGTGCACAGCAGTTGAAATGTGTCATGCCGGTCGCACAGATGCACATGAATTAATGTGGTGAAGAGGTCGACCTCAGCTGTGATCAGAGCCACCGAGTTATTCTGTCTGATAAACAGTTCTTTAATTTCCTGGAAGAGCCTCCATTCATCGACCATGCAGGCAGAAATAACAATGTCAAAGAGGCTGTTGTCAGTTTTGGTTATACAACAGTATTGGTCATATGGCCTTGTCTGTGTATGAAAGGTTTAATGTGATGTTTTGTATGTGTTGTTTACTGTAATATATCGGTATTAAGTTTAGAAGAAAAAAACAAACAAACAATGCATGTAAACATCCAGCTCCCGGCAGTCAACTTTATTTTTATCTTCATAAACAAAGTGATTGTTATTTGGAAAACACACTATACAAGTGACAGGAAGCAACAAAAGCACATTACCACAGCGTATCAGTTTGAAACTCAGCTGTGTTTAGTCTGTGTGCTGGAGTTTCCTTGATTGCTCAAAATACAGCGTACGTCTGTGCGCTCTGTTTACCCTCCCACATAAGATGTGAGCAGAGCACGGTTTCTCAGTACCATTTAAAAGTGAAGGCACAGAAATCAGTGCTTTAGAAGAGGTGTGAAAGAATCCAGCTGAGCTGGTTGTGACCAGGTTAGGGGATTCAACCATCAGCCAAACAGTTGTAACTGTGTAGATCAGGGGTCCCCAACAATTCAATTCAATTCAAAGAAAGTCCAGTCATATCCATTCACTTTCTTTATTTAAAGATAATCTAACTTTAAAACAATATGTCATTCAGACTCTTATACTAACAGAATAGAGTCTAAAAGATTTTTTATTTTGAAAATGTAATGATTAATATTTGATTGATTATAAAAACTTTTAATTTCTTAGGTTAAGGAACTCTGCTGCATGCTTTTTAAGCTCCCGAGAGTTTGGCGGGCCTCATTTGGCCCCCGGGCCTTGAGTTTGACACGTATGGTCTAGTATATCTATCTATCTATCTCCATAAAATATTTTTCCTCCTTTTCATCTACACAATTCTGTATGAGTGATAGGACAGTCTTGTTCTGTGAACGACCAGAACTGTCTGTATTCCCGGCCGTCTCTTCCTTCATGTTATCTGTGTTTCTCTATCTGTCAGACTTTTGTGCACAAACAACATCTGCTTGTGTTTGTGTGATTTAAAGCCTCCCCTTGTGATTCCTGAACACTGTCTGTGTTTTATGTGGAAGAGTCATGTGGAGACATTTCTAAGAAAGTATCAGGGAGTAAGGAAAACATTGGAAGGATTCCTCATAAGAGAGAGCAGGTTTCTCTTAATCGTACTGCAGGTTAGGGATCAAGTATCATGTTACATTTTCTCATTCATTAGGGATGACTATCTTTTGTCTTTTTTTTTTTCAATTTTAATACCTAATATTAATTACATGTCATTTGTTTCCTCGATGGATGGGATTTTGATGATACAGAGAAACACTTTTTTTTTTCAAGTCAGTAACATTAGTGAGTGGCTTTAGTTTAATTGTTGTCTGTCACCTGCCTTTCTTTTTCCCTATTTCTGTTTAGTCCGAACCTGATTAAAACACAAGCTCCATCAGTGCATTCATTTTTCTCTATCTATTATATTCACACCTGAAAACAATATTCAGTCCCAGTATTTTTCCCAGTATTCATGTTAAACCTCTTGTGTTTTGTTTTAGTCTGTACATATTTCATGGTATATTTTGTGAAAGTCTTTAATACTATGCGCTTGATAACGTTCTTGTGTTTGTTTTAGGAGTGTGGTTCTCCTTGGCTGAAGAGTGTGTTTTCACCAGTTACATTCCAGCAAGAATCCACTGTGTTGCTGCTGCGCCCATGAGGTAACGTCAGGACCTGGCGCTGCCTGCTTACCACCGTTGGTCCGTCCATCTCCCTTCCCACTGTCCCATTCACCACAGGACCTACACAGCCATGGGCCAGAAGATATCGGGCAGCATCAAGTCAGTGGATGTACGTGGAGAGTCTTCATATCAGCCTGTGCGCCGCGAGCTGCGGGGCCCAGATTTCTGTCGGCCACCTCGACTGGACTTACTTTTAGACATGCCACCAGCCAGTACTGAGACACAGCTTCGCCATGCATGGAACCCAGACGACCGCTCACTAAATATTTTTGTAAAAGAGGACGATAAGCTAACATTCCATAGACACCCGGTAGCACAAAGCACAGACTGTATTCGTGGCAAGGTGGGCTACACCAGGGGCCTCCATGTCTGGCAGATCCACTGGCCGTCGCGACAGCGGGGCACCCATGCTGTCGTCGGTGTGGCTACTGCTGAAGCCACTTTACATTCAGTGGGCTACATGGCCCTGGTGGGCTCAGACTCTGAGTCTTGGGGCTGGGACCTGGGTCGGAACAGACTGTACCACGACGGAAAGAACCAACCCGGCTCCTCGTCAGCTCCCACCTACCCCTGTTTTTTGGAGCCAGATGAGTCTTTTGTTCTTCCAGACTCTCTGACTGTTGTACTGGACATGGATGAAGGAACTCTGAGCTTCATGGTAGATGGACAGTATCTGGGTGTGGCTTTCAGAGGACTCAAGGGCAAAAGACTGTATCCTATCATCAGTGCTGTGTGGGGTCACTGTGAGGTGTCCATCCGCTACGTCAACGGACTGGATCGTAAGTACAACGTCTCTCACACACACACACAGGCGCTCCAACATTCTGAAGCCTTTTGAAAGCTGTTAAAGCGTAAGTACAACGTCTCTCACACACACATACACATAGGCGGCCCAACATTCTGAAGCCTTTTGAAAGTTGTTAAAGTTGATCGATAGTTGAGCTTTTCCCCCCGTTTAAGTAACGATGGCAGCCACAAAAAACATACTATCAATGATCCATACGTCATTTTCATAACTTTCTCATTCCTTTCACACCAACAAAGCCAGTATTTTTCTGGTGTTTGTCTGCTGATGTCAATATCAGTAGGAAAGTTACAGTTGTTGTTTGGGATCTTTATTTAGAGGCACACGTTCCAGAACCTGTTGTTGTTTTCATATAGTTTGACCTACAGATGCACGCCTCTTTTACTCAGTTTAAACACGTTCTTCTCTCTGACCTTTCCATTCCTACTCCATCTGACTGTGAGCGTTCGCTCCGAGAAGTACGGACTAGGTTGTTTTGATCCGATGCTGCAGTGAGTGGTTGAATAAACCAGCTATATTAACAACAGCATGAACGTAATCCGTCTTGTACTATTTTAAAAGAAGGAATGTCAGTAAGGGACAATATTAAACAATACTACACCGTTGCATTTTATATTTTGATATAAACACAAAATATAATAATAATATTCACAATTGTGAAAAATGTCAGTAAGGGACAATATTAAGCAGAAAAAAAAAAATACACCGTTGCATTTTATATTTTGATATAAACACAAAATATAATAATAATATTCACAATTGTGAAAATTCACAATTAAAATGTTACAGAATTCTACTTGTTATGTAATTACCTTTTACCCATCAGCAGGTCTGTCTGTTCTTTTCAGCGGGACAGACTGTTGTTGTAGTTATTGTTTGTTAGTGTTAATCAGCATCAGTGTCTCAGTCATAGCAATGACACAGAAATAAGAGTCCAACATTGTCTGCCGGAGCCTCAGAGCTGCCACTGTGCTCTGGTTACTGAGGTTCATCATCACCATGAGGGCTGCACCCACAAACTTGCATAATAGGACAGATCAGCTTCCATATTAAAGAAGCTGTAGACATCAATGTGTCCCATGTATCAATCCTGCTGTTGTTTTCTCACTCTGATGTGTGGGAGTGAGTACGAGTGCCAGAGAATCAGGCAGAGATCATATTGTAGTCCTGGCTGAAAAAAACACATAATGTAAATTGTGTGACTTAATTTGAATTGAGCTCAAGTTTTATTTGACATTTACTGGAATCCTGTAACCATCATTGTTTATGATGAGCTCAGATGAACGGCGAAGATCAAGGCTGTCAGTTTGTACTAATGGATAAACTGCAAATGGAAGGGCAGGGTACTAATGGATAAACTGCAAATGGAAGTGGTGACAAGTCACCAGTTTACAGTAGTGACAATTCTGTATGTTGTTTTAGCTTCTTCAGTCTTAGAGTTGATTGATCTGAACACGACAGTGTGATACAGTAAACATGATTAATACTACCATCATTCACTCATGCATACTGTATGAGCCCGCTCAAGACATCGTATGTGATATTTACTGCCTTGGAGCTTGTACTCTGACAGAATTATGACAAATGACTCTAGTGTGAGATATCAGGTTTCAGACACCTCTGTGTGATGTATGCAATAAGCCTGAAATTTATGCATTGGGAACACGCTTCATCCGTCGTCCTTCTTTTTTTTTCTTTTTTTTTTTTTTCAACATTCCCTTCTAGAAATTTGAAGACGGTTGGTTCTTTTTCCTTTACATATATTCTGTAAATATACACTTCACCTCCAATGTGCCCCAGCTCATACAGTGAATCCATACTTTTGATTCTCCACCTTTATGTTGTCCCTTAAGTCTCTGCATTAATGCCAGTGTCTGATCCTGTCTAGGTTCTTCTCTAAACCTTTCTGAAACTTTGTCCCAGATCCAGAGTTATTCTATTATTCTTAAACTTAAACTATTAGGCGTGGAGATATAAAACCTAGGAGGACGTTCATGATTAGGCAGGATATATATCAATACTGCAGCTCGTTCACATCAGGGCTCCTGCGTTACAACAAGACGATCACCTGCTCTTCTGTGTTTCCCCCTTTGATAGAAAAACTGTGCAGCCTGTACCCTGCCCTCAACTGCCCCCTCCACCCCCGACACCAGGGATTTGCCATATGCCATAACTGCTCATTTACTAATCATAAGGTCTCTAGATGATTTAAGTGCAAACACTGTTTCTGTTTGTGAGAGAGAGAGGAAAAAAAGAAATAAGAAATGAGTGAAAGGGCTTAGTGCACATTAAGACTTAGACCATGTGAGAGCAAATGTTAGAGCGCCACTTTAAAATGTCTTAGATTAGGGTTGCCAAACTTCTCTTGGTGAGGTTTAACCACAACAGGCACATGACACCAACTGCTGCTGCTCAAACTCATTTGCACTTGAATGACACAAACTAGCCAGAGGAGTACCCACACTGCAGCACCCGGACAGTTGTACCTGCAGTTGTTTTTGTGGGTTCTCTCTCCTCCCCCCCTCCCTTTCCTCTGTTCTCCTGTCTTTCTACTTTTCTCCCCCCGTTTCTTTTCCAGTACTAATCCATTCTTTCACCGTCTACACGCTCAGTTTTGCTAGGAGTTGCTGTGGAAACGGTTCAGCTGGTTTATCATTGGGTTGCTGGGTGGTTAATTGTTGACCAGGCAGCTCGCTCACTAGTTTGTTGGCTCAGGGTTCACCTTGTACCAGTCTGATGGCTTGTTTTTGTATGAGGTTCAGAGCTGTTAGAAAAATTTACAGCTACAAATACTGTGGACTGCAGGCAGAGACAGAAAAGGGTAGACGGTTGATAAAAGGTTACCACAGCTCCATCTTAACCCTCGGCTCCATGTGAAGCCACATTAACCCTGTAATCACAGTATTACCTGTAAATTAATAATTGTTAATACTGTATTTGACACCATATTATATGCAGTGACCTGGATTTATTTATTTATTTATTCTATAAAGTAATAACATAATATCATAATTACGATAGTTGAACACATGAATTTAAGAAACACAAGTTTTACAATGGAGGCTATAACTGGAGGTTAAAGTGCATTAGCCAAAAGAGAGAGAGTGAACAAAGCCAGGATCAGAGCAGGATTTAAGTCTGTTACATGTCACAAGACTGTTCCTGAGTGGCCAGAATGCATTTCATTAGCTGCTACCTCACCCTGCAACCAACTGCAAAGACACAAACTGTGGCGAGTCATTTGGCATAAAAACAAATTCAAATTAAAAAATAAAGTTTTTTTGACTTTATAACTTTACACCAATATTGATCGTTCAAAGTAATTGACATTTGTGAAAAAGTTTAATTTAAGGATCGACGATAACAAACCCACTCAAACTACACATTGCATCTTTCCAGGCTTTTTACAGCAGCTCTGCATCAGTTGTGTTACATCATCGCCACCTAGTGGTTCTGTCACCTTGACCATTTTCTGATTATAAAAAGTGCAACGTGTGTATAATAGAGTAATATCTATTGTGTTTGAATTAGTGTTTGACGTTAAGATATTTTTTATCATGTCCGTGGTAGGATCCCTACAGAAGGTTGATTGTTATGTATGTATTATTAGAAAGGTATGTATGTAATGTACGTAGTATAATGTACCTGGTAAAGGGGAAAACAGGAAGTAATTAGAATAAGCTGGTACCTCCTTCTCCTTAGTTGATTATGAAGTTGCCTTCCTCACAGAGGAAACTCTTCAGATTTGACACCCAGGTCTATGAATTGGGTATAAGGTGACAATATGCTCTGTTGCACTGAGGCTGGCGTCACAGTTCTGCTCCAGTTTCTTTTCTTCTCATGCATCATTGATCTAATTCTGTGCCCCAGAAATACATTCATCTCCTCCCCTTTTTTTTCCATTCCTTTAACCTGTCAGTGAGGAAGACGTTGGTAGTAGGTACGTGTCCACACCTTCAGAGTGTATACGTAGACGTACCCACATGTCATCTTAGAATCAGGTCAGACGAGAGGCAAAGTTTATGGTAATATTTTTGATGTACTGTGTGTGGCCACAGGTTGTGGTTTATTAAATTAATGAACTAGAAAGAATATATTTTTGTAGGTATACGTTGCTGTACTTTGTCTTTTCAGTCCCAGAGTTGGGTCTCATACGATCATCGTCTGACATTGTGTGTTCATAAAAACCTAAAGGGAAACTCAGGGCCCGTCTATAAGGTATCTCACCTCAGTGAGGGCAGACTGTCTGACGCTGACGCCATCACACAACCGCCGCTTCCTTTCCTCACCTTTGTTCTCAACTAAGTGTTGGGTTGGTGTGTGTGCGTGTGTGTGTGCGTGTGCACCAGCTAGACGCTCCGTCCTCTTTCTCGCACTCTGTCTTCTTTCTATTCTTTTTTCATGAATCTGTTGCTATGTGCTCCCTGATCATTCAGAAAACACCCGGAGCCTTTTATAAGACACGTTTTGTATCATGCTGGACTTTCCGTCTAATGTCCAAGTGTGTGTTGTGGATATCGGCAGCCTGCAAACATGCCTGTATGATAGTGAAGTGAAGCAGGGACGATCAAAGAAGTCGAAATCAGTGCAGAAAGGATTTGTTTTTTAACATTTTGTTTTCCGCTACGCAGGAGAGGAAGAGAGTAGAAAGTCTGTGCTTGAAGTTTTTCTGGTGTAAAGGTGATGCGTCTGAATGTTCATATCAAACTGGAGGACTGTTTTGTCCTCCATAGAGGTTGATGGCCACAGTTCTGCCTTTTCTGTAACTTTCAGGTTCATGTAGGGAACGTCACACAAAGTTTTTGTTCTTTTAACTGTAAAATAATTAATTGTACAGTTAATGATGAGCATCAGCCAGAGAGTTGAAGGAAAATGTTTTCTCAGTTGTAGAGAAACAGATGCCAATATGATATTATCCCACAATTACAGATTAACAACGAGAACGCTGCGTGAGTGCATTACACATGGTATACAATACATAAGTCTGGGCCGGAGTCCAGTCTTGGGGGAGGCCACAGCACTTAAACATGTTTATGTGGCTCAGGACTCCTTTTATTTTTATTAATTATTGATGGTGCGCCATTACAAACAAAGAGAATTGATAAATTATAAAAGACCGAGTTCAATTCTACATGGATCTTAAACAATCTGATGTTGTTGGCCAAACAAACAAACAAACAAACTTCTGATTGGTGGGCAGCTCTAAATTAAATAAGAAAAAAAAAACCTCCCCCTTTCTCTCACACACAATCACTGACCAGCGGTGATACTTCGACTGCAGGTGGAACTGACACCTGCTCTTTTATTTCTACTTGTGATTGGAGTTCGGCGACTGTGGTGGCGGTGGTTCCCAAACAGCGGCGCTGAGCCTGTTGGAGTGCAGAATTACTTTTGCAGAATTATTAGAATTCTGAATAATTTAATTTACTTTTTCTGTATCTGAGTTTAGTCACTCATGACCATGACGTTTCCGTCATTTGATTTCAAATTGGCAGCAACCTTTGTTTTAACATAGAATACACGAGCATCTGTGACTGTACACCCAGCACAGTGACAGTATGACTGTTACTATGGAAACAACATAAATGTGGGGGCTGCACTGATGAGGATGGATTGATGTATGGTGGCTCCTACAAATTAAAAGTCTCTGTTGTTTTGGGGGAGTGAGGAGGAGGATCTATTTCCTGAGAAAATGGTGTAGAATGTCACGAGATGTAAATGTTAAGTATGATATTGATGTGGAGGTGAATGAATCAGTCAAATTCAATCTATTCTAATCCACCTTTCTTCAGGATAAAAAAAAAGATAATATATGGAATTAACAAGAACAAGAGTTTTCTCAAAGGGACCTCTTCATAGATGGTCAGTTTTAGGTAAATATTGAGAGGTTTTACAACAAGTTCTCATCCTGCTTTTGGTTTACAACGTTTGTTGTTGTTGTTGGACTGTAAAATATTTCCCTGCTGCTCCTGAGGTGTTCCTCGTTTTTACTACGACAGAACGATTTGTCTCAGTTTTAGACATTAGAAGCAGATCTTCTTCACAGAGGCAGCCGTTTTCATTTTCAGACAAAGTCTAGTTGTTTTCCCATCATGCCGCGGGGGGCGGGGGGGCGTGTTAACCTTAAATAAATTGAAACAGTATTTAATGTGTTGACGTTTGTAGGTTGAAGGTGTATCTTTATGTTCTGTTCATGACAACAACACGTGCAGCTGGAATCACAGCTCTGAGGTGTTAGTTTGTTAGTTGTTGTTTTTGTTTTTTTTTGTTTTTTTTCCCCATACTGACAAATCATCAATTAGGGGGGGATAACAATGCATGAGTTAATTCCTTTTTTTTTTCCACATTCCTGATGATGCCCAGAGGAACGCTGGCTCTGGTTCCTGGGATGCTCTCAGGCGTAGATGTTTAGTAGTAAAATTAGTTTGGTAATGAGTCTCCAGTCGTGGCGATGTGGTCTGCTTTTATTAGGCTGCAGAGAGAGAGGGAGAGAGAGAGAGAGAGAGAGAGAGATGACTCAGCTGTTCACAGAGGAGGTGCGGTTGACACACAGTGATGAGAACGTTCTTCTGCAGCAGGAGATGAGTTTTTTTATGGCGCACAACTGGAACGGCATTAACAGAAAAATGCAGTATCAGAGTGGTGATTAAACTGTACACAGATCTCACACACACACACACACACTGCACTGCTGCGTTGGTTTCATATAAATAACAAATGAAAGACATTTGCCAAGTGTCACAGTAATTATTTCCAAATCTGAGTCACTGCAGTCAAATTTTTACTTCCTTAAAAAAAAAGATTTTATTCCTTCAGCCACAGTTTTTTGGACTTTAAAAAATGTGAAGTGTAGATGAATTTTCAAACTCACAAATTCCTTTTTTATGTTTGTCAAGTAAGAGGAATAAAGTTGTAGCCTGTAGGTTTTCCAGATCATTAACAGTCTCACATCATGCTGTATCTACAGGGAGGAAACAACAGCGTTCACCTCAGAGTGTTTGGCGACGTCGCCCTTTAATCCAGCACACGTTACATTCACATCTCCTCCTAGCTCTAATCTTGTTGCTTAAAAGTTGAAAATGAAATGAATGAGTAGAGTTGATGGAGATGATACTTTTTTTTTTTTCTAAATGTATGTCACAGAGACTGAAGTACAGAAACATCCTCCTGGTTCTCAGGAAAAAAAAGATCACAGCTTTTTTTCCCAAGGCTGTGAAAAAGTTAAGTAGTTGGAAATAAGTTTATTTTAGCTGTTAATCTCCGTCGGGAATCTTGAAATGAGCCGGCTGTACTGCGTCAGTGCATGAGAAACTGTAGATAATGCCCTAAGAGGGGAAACAGTGTTTTTAGGGCGACAGACTTCATGGTATTGTGTCGTATTGTTCATGTTGTTTATGGTGTCGAAGCTCATTTTTGATATAGAAAATAATGCCGATCCTTCTCAGTTCGTGAACACACTTCTCTCAGCTGTTACTTTGAGTTTGACCTTGAATTTCCTCATATTTTGTATTTCTTCTCAAACCTCGACCTCAACAGTCGTGTTGCTCTGAAGGAAACTAAAACAAATTCCTCCTTTACGCCGTAGCCTGCCAATTATCACGTGCGTTTTGCTCCCGTGCATGTGTAGATGCCCCTGCTCATGTCCTTCACAGTGTGTAAATAGATCGGGAGCAGCGGGAAATCTCCTCCACCAGATGGTGCTTCCAGGTGGAGCAGCTTGACAGCCATAAAGTGGCAGCAGTTAAGCGTCTGTCAATCTGATGTACATACAGAGAAGTTGCCTTGAGACACCAGTGGGAGGCGGAAAAGTCATCGCGCCGCGTCGATGGCACGTGCCCTCGGTGTGTGTTACGTCATCGTCATCTGCTGTTTCTCTTTACACCTTAATTAGAAATAGTTTTAAATTACGCACTCAGATGAAGTCATTATTAACGTCCGTCATTTTGGAGACGTTTGACAGAGGAGCAGAAATTTGTTTGTTACGTGGTTAAGAAATTCATTTTCATTGTTTTTTAGCGAGGGAGCCAGTGGGAAGGTGGGTAGTGGTCCTGTCTTACAGCAGTAATTACAGCAGTGTAATGGTTTGATCCCTTGACCTCCAAACTCAGTGTGTCAAACAGTGAAGGGATTTTTTTTAACATATTAAATAACACCTTCATGTAGTGATTTAAACAGTTCACACCAGAACTGTTTGGTCAGTTTTGAACCGACCAGCGTTGGTTTCCTCGTACGGGCTGGTCTGAAAGTTCATCTGAACTCTGGGGTCAATCCAACCAAGTGAACTCTGGTCTGACTCATCATGAGCTGTTGGGATGTGAACTCTGGTGAGTTTTGTTTTACAGTGGGAAAAGCAAACAGACTGTCACGAAGAAGTGATAAATGACACAATGGATTTTCAGTATGAAAAAAAAAACGGATTAGAAGTGTAGAAACAGACATTGAAAGAGAAATTTGAAAATGGTCTTGTGTGCAGACGTGATTTGAGAAGACTCTGTCTAGAGTTTACATTCACTTTTAGTGGCAGAGATTGGATCCTTGAGCCAGGTTTTCTTCTTCCTCTTTTTTTTTTCCCCTGCAGTTCTTCCCCAAATGAGCAGCTGTTGTATCTGTGACACTGTCCAATCAGTGTGTTCCACTTTCACTCTGAACTTTGAAAGAGCGCCCGACCTTTTACAGCCGTGAAACGTCCCTGCCCAGATCCCACAGTGGCAGAGTCTCATTCCTACACAGTGACCCATCAGCCTGGACCTTCAACCAGTGAACAAACAAACTGTTGAAATCAGGAAGTGATGAAATAATCAATCTTTATCTCCGTTTCCTGTCGTCCCTCTACAGCGGAGCCGCTGCCCCTCATGGACCTGTGCAGACGAGTGGCTCGGCTGGCTCTGGGCAGAGAGCGCATCCATCACATTGACACCCTCCCGCTGCCTCAGACTCTAAAGGACTACCTCCAGTACCAGTGACCACACACACACACACACACACACACACACACACACACACACACACACTGATGGGAGAAAAGCTGAAGCCCATTTGTTGTGAATGTTTCCAGCCTTGGGAGTGAAGTTGATCATTCTAATCACACACCTGCTGAGGAGACGGACTCTGACACTGACTAGGAACAGGTGGTGAAGATGGCGCTGCACGGGGATCTGTTTACACACGCTGGGGATTTTCCATGTGGATGTTTGTTTTTATCTCCTGGTTTTAAATTTTTTCTCCTTTTTTTTCTTTTTTTTTTTTTTCCTCCCAAAATTACTCACTGTTGTTTTGCTCCCATAGTGTGTTTAAACTGTAGAAAAAGATTATAGGAATGTGTTAAAATTCACTTTCCTGGTCATCGTGTGTGTGTATGTAAATATATATACACACACACACACATGGGATGTGACTCTGTGAAAACATCCTCCCAAATCTATTGTTTTGTATATTTATATTTAGTACGACGATGGTACAGGAGCGTGTGGACGCGGAGGGAGAGGAGGTTTTGTTACTGTCAGCGTGTTCACGGTGAAGTGCACCGGGCGCGTACAGCGTCTTCATGTGTCACAAATATATAGGAATAACTTTCTCTAGTCAGGATTAAAGTAACACACTATTCTGGTTCGACAGCTTTGAATCACGCCCCTCCCTCACCCCCCGTCCCCACTTTTATTCTCGGTCTTTTATTTTGGTAACTCTTTGTTTCCCTCTCACTCAGCCTTGGTTTTGAGGTTCTTGTCATGTCAGGTGAACTCTGCTCTCCCTCCCTGTGATGCTGAAAGAGATTTGATCCAAAGGTGAAGCTTCGTCTTCGACTGTTTAACGTGCCTGCTCTGATAGGACGCACACAAAGCACAACGCCCCCCCACCCTCCAGTCCTCACCCAATCCAAAAAAAAAAAAAAAAGTTTGCAATGCTGCTTTTGATTTTTTTTTTTTTTCTCCTCTGCTGTCTTACCCTTGTGTGGGGTTTTTATTCCAAATGTAATTTTGACAGTCTTATGAGATTGTTTTTAAATGATTTTTTTTTTCTGGGACCGGCTGTCTTGGCATGTTTGGTGGAAGAACGCGCTGCCATGATAATCTTTTAAATGTGAATCAAAATAAACTCCAAACTGACACTGTGTGTCTTCCTTTTTACCCAGAGATACTGCAGTGTCCCAGTACTGTGGAAATACAGTATATACACTAACCTTTGTCAGTACTGAAGTACTGGTCGCTTCAAAGGGATCAGCCTCCGACTAGAGGATTCTGGGAGCTGACGCCTGACTTGATCGTTTCATATGGTTTGATTAATGAACTTGACCAGGTCCATATTTAGCTGCACGTCCATAGACTCAGACTTCACTTCAATTTATTTCACTGTCTTCTCCCCTGCCTCCCCCGTACTCTCTCTCCTCACTCGCTCTTGGGCAGTTTAAAACCTCACCGGCTCTGACTGAAGGTGGCGATAGAGTGCATCAACAAAATGAAGTGGTTTTTGTTTTTTGTTTTTTGTTTCCTGCAGCTGATTCATGAGTTTAACGGTCACATGATCAGTTATGGCTACAGTGAAATGTTACAACGGTTACAGTTTTGAATCTGATTAATCACAGGGAAGATGTGGGTTTATCACGAATAATCAGGATTAATTTAGATAAATTAAAACAAAACAGTAAACAAACAAAACATTTTTTGTGTTTAACTGTTTTGTTGACTTCAAATCTTTGGTGAAGCTGTTCTCAACAATATGAATCTGTCTACTGTCACCATGCCAAGTGACAGTTGTGTCAGTTGGCATGTCAGCCGTAGACTGACTTACTGCCCTCTGCTGGGTGAGACTGGTCTGACACAAGGCATGCTGGGTGCTTGGTGTTTCAGTAGGGGGAAAATAACAAAGACTGGGTTGGATTTACAGTGGGCGTCAATTTGCATATGCATTAAAATACTTAATTAATTTAATTAATTAGTTTGATGGAGACTCCTTCTTGATTCGATTATTTCTGGGGTTTTTTTTGTTTTTCCCTGTGAAAAACAGTGGTGTGTAACAGACGGCTGTTTATTTTCCCGTCTCACCACAAACCTGTCTGACGCGGAGACTCTGAGCTGATGAGCTGACGGTCAATACAAAGTTTGAGTTTACAGTAAACACATGATGTTTGTGTAAACAGTGAGGTCATGATGTCACAGTCATTCCCACTGTCTCTCACTCTGTTCCTTCTCAGTCAAGTCAGGAGTGAGGAAACAAAGCCGCTGCGGTTCGTTTTGTTCTGACTTTGAAGACAGACACAGACGAGACCGGAGGAGACGGGGTGACCTAAAAAAGAAAGGACTCTCGGGTTGAGTCCTCAGGGAAAGACTCAGGAACAGATTCTTAAGATGAGGCAACGTTTTCCAACTTAAACAAACTAAAGTTTGTACATGACTCATTCTCACTTTTTTTATAATTTTTTGCCACTCCTCTTCTAATCTTCTCCAGGGTCGTTGGGAGGAAGAGCAGGGAGTTCGGCTCCATCTTGACTCCACTGACTCCATCTTGGAGTGGGACAAAGGTCACAGACCAAGATCCAATTGATTGTAACAGTTGTGAGACAACTTCAAAATTGATTGACACACTCTGCAGCCTCCATGTTCAGCTCCATAAACATGGAGTTGAACATCCAGTGATGTCATGTCTTCAAAAAAAACAAAAAAAACAGCAAAAACTCTGTAGTGTGAACGCAGCCGTGTGGTACGACTCGTTCTGGATTCAGTTCTGTTTTTATATCAGGCTTGAGAACAGGACCGTTCCTCACCACAGTGACGGAAGCGTTGAACCGCGGTGGTCAAACCCCAGGTTCGGGGGAAGAACGATGTGAGTGAGATGTGTGGGGGGGGGTGGGGGGGGGGTGGGGGA